CCGAACAGGCTGCCGCCGAGCGCGACGAGGCTATTAAGAAGGCAAAGTCTCTCGAGGAGTTCAAAACCAAGGCCGAACAGGCTGCTGCCGAGCGTGATGAGGCTGTTAAGAAGGCCAAGTCTCTCGAAGAATTCAAGACCAAGTCCGAACAAGCCACCGCGGAGCGCGACGAGGCTATTAAGAAGGCCAAGGTCCTCGAGGATGAACTCGCCTCTCTCAAAGACTTGCAATCGAAGGTTGAGGCTCCCGCTCCAGCAGCAGACCCCATTGCTGCGTAAAGAAAGCCCACGAAGGATACGGCTGTAAACCAGGATGATTGTATGCTACTGGATGATGGGTAAGAGAACCGCGAGTGGACGTTTTGCTGTTTCTGTCTGCGTACTTGCACTTTTAGCGGAAAAAAATGCATGGCTTGCTTGCTTGCTCTGGGATACCTATTTTGCGATGGCTGATGATGCCTGAGTGTGAAGATTACGAGTGGGAGATGTTTGTGGTCAAAAGGTCTAATGATTGTCGATAGAGCTGTATACCATTGGGTTGAAGTGATGCTCTCTCGTGGGTTTGATMCTTTTTGACTTGAGTGTGGATGCAACTTGTAAGATGAATGACGAAGTGTGTCCAACATTGCTTCTCTATTATCGTTAAAAAAAGGAAACGACATGGAGGCACTGAGCACTGCACAGGCACATCTTTGTATGCAAGCAAGGCCACGCCTACGCTAGGTCCCAGCCAGTCCCCTTGGAACTCCATCTGGACCTTTCTCCACCATTGCACGCGACTGTCGCACATCCACCCCAGCCAACTCCGCAGCTGCCATCATTTGAGGCAACAGGCTGGTCTCTATGCTTCCCATAGGTATCCTAGCGACAAAGCTGAGAAGGTCCGCGGCGTAAAAGGGTGATTGGCAATGTCTTCCAATTCCTCGACCGTAGCTATTCTGAGCTTGCATTGCGAGACCTTGATGGATGGTTCTGGTGTTCGTTGCTGATGTTGATGCTGTTATGAAGATTGTGTGGTTCGTGTGATCTTCGAGGAAATGGTGGAAGGACATTGCTGAGATTGTGGTGTTCTCTTGGAAATGATTCGTATGTTGTACTTCCAAATACGGAAGAGGTTTCCACTCATTCCGAGGGGWAGCAACAATTGGCCCATGACCTTGGAAGCCGTTGTGCTGCGTGATATCACTGGGTCATTCCCAACTCATACATACATCATTCAYCAGTCCTCATCCGAAGTATCAGTATGCCACAATGCTTCATCCATGGCATAGCTGAATAGTGGTTTGTGGTAGAAGTGTCTCTCCACCACATCCTTGAGCCTTCTCGCGACCTCTTCCCTACCACTAACCTCCATGTTGAGATGCTCGTACTTTGAAAACACCGCTTGACCACCATGTGAAGGCGGCACATGATCGATTAAGAAACTGATCTCTTCGGTCTCATCRAAATTGGCAAGTGGTGGGTCGGGTGTGAAGCTCACTCCACCGTCGTCATGTAGGATGTGGTAGAAGAGAATGTAGTCGAGGTTCGGACAGAACTCTGCCAGCCAGGAGAACAGTGTACCCCAAGGCCGAGGTTCAGTCTTTACATCCGAGGACAGTAGACGGATGTCACGCATTTTGATGCTTGTTAACTTGGTTGCGCAGGGTTCGAAGAGCGATTGCAGTAGGAGGGAGGTGGACGTCACCTTCTCCAGTTTGATACGGGTGAGAAAGGCGAATGTTGTGTGGCTTGAGATGCATGACAGAGCTAGGAACGGATAACTTTCTCTCCAGCTGCTGGGATCTCGAGCTCTGGGCGGAACAAGGTGGGATTGCTTTCTATCGCGGAAGATCTGTAAGCCTAGTTCCCTGAGTTTTGGAGTGGCCGCGAGCAGGCGAGCAAGACCAGAGCCAGGTTCATAGTCTGTGCGAAAGCTAAGGTGAGGACCGGGGACTCGATACCTGATCCAGGCTTTCACTACATTTAATTCGATGTACAGGATGGAGGAACAAGCAGCCTCCAGAGTTTCAGATGTCAGATCATCGAATTTGATGTTGTCGACCTCCACAGCGTCAGTATATAGACGCTGTATCTTCACATTGGAAGCGGCAAGGGCATTAAGAAGGGCGATGAGCAGGTAGGTTGAGTCTGAGAGTGTATATGGGTGGATTCCGGGTATCGGACCGAGTACACGAGGATCCTCTCCAATAGCCTTCTCGAGTATTGTCCAGCCGTACGGACTGTAATCCTCACTCCGCCGCATGCCTAAAGTCTGAAGGTTGGGCAGATTCCGGAATGCCTTGGTGAGCTCCACTGTCAACCGGCTCCCACGGAGAAGTGTGCCGTGGTCGCGTACGCAATCTTGATAAGCGGCGTACTGCTTTCCACTCAGCTTATTGGTGGGAGCGACAACATGCGAGCTCTCTGTCTCCGACACATCTGAATCTTCCGCGGAGTCTATATTCATGCCACCACCAAACTTCTGAGGGACACATGCCGGTCGCGCGAAAGTATAGCAGTCCGGATTGAACCACACATGCTGGGGATACTTTCTGAGCTCTGGATGTGCCGCAATTTCTTGAAGAACGTTCAAACTAGGCGTTGTGATCAAATAGCCCTTCTTGCGAAAGAAACGCTTCCCAAAGTGAGCAAACGAGGCATTCTCGAGATGCCTGCAGCTGAGTCGACCAGAGAAGACATCTGAGTCCGATAAAAAGGTGAAGATGCCGGAAAGAATCTCGGGAGGAAGCAGTGATATAGGCATCGTGAATTTCCGACGTGGATTGAGTGCTWCAAAGAAATGTCGACTCACCAAACCAGGTCCATGCTTGATGGAGATCGCGATGGAGTGGAGTGAAGTGAAGTGAAGTGAAGTGAAGTGAAGGAAAGTCACCTCGCACATGAAAGAAGGTGTTTCGTCGATCATCAACAAGCTTCAAACTTCCCCACCCTTGAACAACCATTGGAACTCCCATCATTGCTACTTCTCGCTCTCTGCAACATGAGCACGGGGACGTCGCACCTCAGCGAAGACGATCTCTACCGCGCATCGTCGCAGTTCCGCTTCTGGTCTTTCGCGCCAGAACAACTCGCCGCCCGTCGCCACGAAACGCACGCGCTCGCGATCCAACGCGCTCGACAATATGACCCAAATGGCGCTGAAGACTCCTATCTCACGGCGGAGGAAGAGCTGAAGCTAGTGGAGAGCTATGTCGACATCATCCGCAAGACGACCACCCACATCAGATGGCCGGTCAACATCAAGACGACGGCGATTCAATATCTCAAGCGCTTCTACCTCTCCAACAGCTGCATGACCTACCCACCCAAGGAGATCTACAAGACCGTCATGTTTCTCGCATCCAAGACCGAAGCATTCCACATCACGCTGTCCAAATTCTGCGGGCAAATCAGCGCGGTCCGTGAGGCAGTACTGGCGCCAGAATATAAGGTCATGCAAGCATTGCGCTTCACCCTGGACGTCCGACAGCCCTTTCGGGGATTGAAGGGGACATTGATGGAGTTGTTGAACATGGTGGATGATAATATACAAGGCCTCAAGGCATTGAAGGAACCCGGTGGAGGTAGTGCGTGGAGGACACCGGGAGATGGACGTGCCGTGGAGAAGAAACACATCGTGGACCGCATCAATCAGGCATACCACGTCGCCCGCAACACTTTGGACACCCCTGCCTCTACTACGGACGTCTACTTCCTGTACACACCCTCGCAGATTCTCCTCGCGGCACTGCAGCTTGCTGACGAACCGCTGCTGCATTTCTATCTTGACAGCAAGCTCCCGACAGACGCGCAAATGCGTCCGAGGATCCTCTCAACCATTCAAGAATGTGCAGATATGATGGGTGCGTTCCGTCCGGAGAACATCATTACCAAAGACGTTCGCATCGCGCTGGAGGCGAAGCTAGAGGCATGCAGAGATCCGAGTACCAAGGATCTGATCAAAAGCCACGCTGCGATGAAGAGGAGTGGTGCGGAGGATGGCGACTCACAGGACGAAGCTAAGAAGAGGAAGATGGAGAAGCATAAGAATGCCCGTGAGGCGGATGACATGTTTGGACCTGCTATTGGGAAGGGGTGAAGCAGAGGCAGCGCAGAGTATACCACACCATGAACAAGATGCTGGAGTAAATACCACGCCATTGGTCGCCGTGCAATCATGCGGGTCGAGTCGAAGTCAACGACAACAAGGTCCGCCACATTCACGCCATAATTACTTCCAAAGGCCAAAGGAGGCTAAACAACATGTACAGTGGGTATGCGAGAATGCCCACAACAGAATACATAATCAACGTGGTTCTTTCCACAGCGACTGGCTTTCGCTTGCGCAATGTAAATGATAGACGAAGTCACGAATATAATCATAAGATATACAACAGTTCCGATCAACTACCCATGTCTATTTGCAACAGTTTCTCCTCCAGGCCTCTTCTCCTACGTCCTGTAATCGCCATTAATGGTGACGTACTCATGACTAAAGTCACAAGTCCAGAATACCGCCTCTCTGACGCTACGCACAGGCCCATCACCACGAGGGGTTCCATCCTCCAACCTAACCAAAATCTCCAGATCCTCCATCTCAAGAATCTCCTTGGCGCGAACCTCATCCACAGCTTCCGGCTCACCACAAACCAATAGTTTCAGCTCCTTGCTACCATCCGAAGGGATGAATGAGACGCTTGTTCGGCTATTCACTACCGGAGCACGACGCTTGTTCTCGCTTGCATCTTGCCTCCCCGACCCTTTGCCCATGCGCGCAAGTTTCCTATCAAGTTTGACCTGCTCGCCAATTTTAAGTGCATCGGCGTCGAGTTCGAAAGATGACATGAGACCTGGAGCGTAGCCAATGGCGCAGAGAATTCGGCCCCAGTTGGCGTCTTTGCCGTAGAGGGCGGTCTTGACGAGTGCGGAGCGGGCGATGCTCACGGCGACGCGCTTCGCTGTTACGAAGCTCACATCGCTACGGACACGAATTGTGACGAACTTGGTGGCGCCTTCACCGTCTCTGACTACGAGTTTGGCAAGGTCTTTGAGGAAGGTGGAGAAGACTTGTTCGAAGACTCTGAGGTCGTCTGATTTCCCGTTGACATTTTGAGAATCGTAGGCCATTGGCTGGACACCTTCTGGGGTTGCGGCGCCATTGGCGAAACATGCCAAGGTATCGTTTGTGCTGGTGTCTCCGTCTATGGAGATGGAGTTGAACGAGGTTTGAGTGTGATGTCTGAGAAGCTTGGCAAGGGTGTCGGGATCGATCGCAGCGTCCGTGCAGACTGTGGCCAGAAGAGTAGCCATGTTGGGATGGATCATTCCAGCGCCTTTGGTCATGCCTGCAATGCTGTATGTGGTCTCGGGGTGGGATGGCAGTGTGAAAGTACGAGACATCAGTTTGGGGAACGTATCCGTTGTGCAGATGGCCTGTGCAGCACCTAGCCAGTGCTCATGGGTGGAACCCAGAGAAGCATGCAACTTTGGAATGGCGGATGTGATGCGATCAATCGGCAGGCGCTGACCAATGACTCCGGTGCTCATGACCAATGTTTCCGGAAGAGAAGCATCGTCAGCCCCAAAGAGCTTGTCAGTAGCTCGAGACATGGCCTCGGCGTGCTCCAGGCCCAGCTTTCCCGTCACAGCATTGGCGCACCCTGAGTTGATAACAACGCCGCGGATATTTTTGTTCTGTTGGAGTCTCAAAATATCGCCAGAGACCTTGACAGGCGCGGCCCTGAACATGTTCCTCGTGAAGACAGCTGCTCCGGGACATGGTACTTCGGACACGATGAGAGCCAGGTCATCATATTTGGTGTTGCTTGCTTTGACTCCAGCGAATGCGCTGCCGGCGAGGAATCCTTTTGGATATGTGCCAGATGTCGGGACGTACTTCTGTTTGGCGGCTGGAATGGAGCGTTCTGCTGGCGCGGAGTATGAACGGATCTGAATTGCTGCTGCAAAGATCCGCCTCATGCTCAGATTCTTTGGCGCCATGTTTTCGAGGCGCTGCCGATGTACGGCAGATGGATGGTGTTTTGCAAATGCAAGACTTGAGCACAGAGTACCTTATGCTGATGTTAATGTGATGGCAGTCATGGAGGTGTCCAACTCCAATGGTGATGTCTAAGTTAGTCGAATACGGAGAAAATAGAATGGGTACCGCGACGCGTTTCGCCTTTGCCGGCCCGTGCTCTGCCCCACCGGAACCGAACGTCGAACGAACGCTTCCATCAATTCTGTGTCGACCATCTGCTTGTCTTTTGGAGCTTGTCGGTGATTGCTAGAGAGGTATCGCAGGCGAGAAACGTTGCAGATCCCGCCCAGCAGCGGATTCTACTTTCAGGACCAGATTCTCCAAAAAGCCCCGGACGGAATAGAGCTCCTCTTCTGCGTCACTTGTTATCTGGATAGCTCATGTTCCGCTTCCTACGCAGCTTCTCGACCACCGCTCGCCGATTCGTCAAACCATCCGAGATGGAAGCAGTCAACACCACTGAGCGGCTCGCAGCGCTGCGGCAGCTGATGAAGAAGAACAAGGTGGACATCTACATTGTTCCGTCGGGAGATGCCCACTCTTCAGAGTACATTGCACCAACCGATGCGCGCCGCGAGTTCAWAYCAGGCTTTACGGGATCTGCAGGCACGGCCATTGTGTCGACGGAGAAGGCAGCGTTGGCAACAGATGGCCGGTACTTTAATCAGGCCGGCCAACAGCTCGATTCCAACTGGACGCTGCTCAAACAAGGCCTACAAGATGTTCCAACGTGGCAGGAGTGGACGGTAGAGCAAGCCGAGGGCGGCAAGACTGTTGGTGTAGATCCAACCACCATCACAGCTCCCGAGGGCAGGAAGCTGGCCGAGAAGATCAAGAAGAAGGGTGGCAAAAATCTGGTGGCTCTGGCGGAGAATTTGGTTGATCAGGTCTGGGGCAAACAGAAGCCAGCCAGACCAAATGAGCAGGTCAGAGTACTGGGAATGGAGTATGCCGGCAAGAAATTCCAAGAAAAGATCGAAGAGCTACGGAAGGAGCTGGAGAAGAAGAAAGCTGCAGCGTTCGTGGTGAGCATGCTGGATGAGGTGGCATGGCTCTTCAACTTGCGCGGCAACGACATTCCATACAACCCAGTCTTCTTCTCATATGCTGTCGTCACGCCTACTACAACCACACTCTACATCGACGAAAGCAAGCTCCCGGACAACGCAAAAGCCCACCTGCTGGGCGTCGAGATTCGTCCATATGAGAGCATATTCTCCGAAATTGCTGCCATGGCTTCTTCCAACTCCGAGGCAAACGGCAGTGGCGCACCTAAACGCAAGTACCTGATCTCCAACACAGGGTCGTGGGCGCTTTCTCACGCCCTTGGCGGAGAAGACACAGTCGATGAGATTCGCTCTCCCATTGCCGATGCCAAAGCCATCAAGAACTCCACCGAGCTAGAAGGAATGCGAAACTGCCATATTCGCGACGGTGCCGCTTTGATAGAGTACTTTTCATGGCTGGAGGAGGAACTGATCGTCAAGAAGTCCAAGATCGATGAGGTCCAAGGCGCAGACAAACTAGAGTCAATACGCAGCAAGCACGATAAGTTTGTCGGTCTCTCATTCGACACCATCTCCTCCACGGGTCCAAACGCGGCCATTATCCACTACAAACCGGAACCCGGCAACTGCAGTATCATTGACCCCGAGAAGGTGTATCTCTGCGACTCCGGCGCACAATATCTGGACGGTACAACGGACACGACCCGCACACTCCACTTTGGAACGCCCACAGCCCAAGAGCAGGAGGCGTACACGCTTGTACTAAAAGGTCACATCGCTCTTGAACTTGCTGTATTTCCCAAGGGCACGTCTGGCTTTGCGCTCGACACACTCGCACGCCAATACCTATGGCAATACGGACTGGAGTACCGCCACGGCACCGGCCATGGTGTTGGCTCGTTCCTCAACGTACACGAAGGACCCATTGGCATTGGAACGCGGATACAATATTCAGAAGTGCCTCTCTCGGTTGGTAACGTGATATCCAACGAGCCAGGTTACTACGAAGACGACAACTTCGGCATTCGGATTGAGAATGTAATCATGGTTCAGGAGAGGAAGACAAAGTATCGATTTGGCGACAAGCCTTACTTTGGCTTCGAGCACGTTACGATGGTTCCGATGTGCAGAAAGTTGGTAGACGTCCAATTATTGACGACCGAGGAGGTCGCATGGCTGAATGCGTATCATGAGGAAGTGTTGGAGAAGACCAAGCCTCTGCTGAAGGACGAGCGGAGTCTGAAGTGGTTAGAAAGGGAATGTCAACCGTATTGAAGAGCAGCCAAGTCCGCTGCAACATGAACTCTGAACGACCTTGTCAAACATCACTCAGATGAGATGGAGAGTGAGTCGATGCATTGTTTCGACAACCTCATTGATTCACAACCCGACCCGCTAAATTCAACATGGAAGATTCCCAAGCGCCGCTAATGCAAGAACGGCGAAATATATAACCTCTCCCCCACAACCTCGACCCTAATTCTTCTGCTCAACTGGTCCATCCAAGTTGACACCCGCACTGCTCAAATGCGTGCTCTTTGGTGCCAACACAATATCCAATTCCAACTCCCTCGTGACAGGCCCACCAGGTCCCTGATGAGGCTTCACGCCCGCCGGAAGCTTACTATYATCAAAAGGAGTAAAGTCGACAACCAAATCATCCTTGACGGCGAAGACGGTATCGGTTGCCAGCYAAGGGTCATCTTTGGGATAGATTTGTGTGACRCAAGGTTTGTATCCTTCCTTTGTGACCATGAGGTGGATGTGAGCGGGTCGCATCGGGTGGCGGTCGAGTGCGGAGAGGAGTTCCCAGGACGGACCATCTTGAGGAAGGGAGTAGGCTGTAGGACGGAGACAATAAAGTCTATATTCACCATTCTCATCCGTCTTGAATTTCCCGCGTAGGTTGTTATCGGATTGATTCTCGGGGTCTTGGAAGTCGTATTTGCCGTTGCTGGAAGCTTGCCAGAGATCGAAAGTTGTGTCGGGGATGGGTTTGTGGGTTTGCATGTCGCGGATGATGCCATGCATGTAGGTGACGATGCCGTTTTTCGGCTCGTCTTGGATTATGGAGTCGCCGAGTTGTCTCCAGGGGGCATTGGGGGACCAGAAGGGTCCGAGGATTGCGGCCGAGGTGGGGAGGTAGTTTGGGTCGTCGATTTGGACGTAGTTTGCGATTTCGGTGACGAGGCTGGTTGTTTTTGTTTAGCTATGCTGTCTGGGAGGGGAAGGTATTATTATTTGCTTTTTGTCATGTGTACTTACGATTCAAGACCAACAATATCCGATAACCTATGCATCTCATTCCTCTTCCCACCAGACTCTGCCCAAATCTTTCCAGTCTCATTCAGGAATTTCACCCCAGCTAGCCATTCCTCCGGAGTAAGATCTACTTCACGCGAGAAGTCGTGAATGTGTCGGACGAGTCCCGAGAAGATTTGCATCATTCGAGGGCTGGTTTTGGGACCGCATGTTCCAATGACTTTTTCCGTGAAGGTGGGATCGTATTGCCGGCCGGAGCCCTTTTGTGCTGGTGGTGGTCCTCCTGCTGACGACATTGTGTGTGAAAATGTAGGTATGGAGCTGTGGCGAGGGTTGTTGTGTCAAAAGACTCTTTTTCTGTAGCGGTTCTGTGATGAGGTTGACGGTTGTAATGAGGAATAACAATCACAGAGGCGAGAGATGATGAAAAGATGAGACAAGGGCTTTGCGCTTTATTAACTCTTTTTGCTGGCCCACCTTGACTTGTACCTAGAGTAGTCGACGGCAGTTCCATCGGCGAAGACATGGCCCTGCGGGCGTGAGCATTGGACGGTTCATAGTAARGCATAATTGCCGGGAGGAGTGGTCAGACACGCCGAGTCGAACGTCTTTGGTGGCTGCGGGGTAGGCGTGTATCGCGAGCACAAAGGACGAGTGGAGTGTTTGGGGAGCTCCGAATTGCGGCTGTTGCGGAATGTTCTTCCGGATGGATAATGGCTCTTCCGCTGCTGCTTGCTTGGCACATTGTCCCTCACTTGAAGTGTCATTGTCACATGCTTGAAAATGAACCTTATCTAATGGTCAGCACATCATCTCATCATGATCATTCAGGTTTGTGCTTGAGGGCCAACTAGACATTTTGAATTCACATCCCCTTGCTCTTAAATGCCTCCGACATCAACATCGTTCACAATCCCAGCACTTGCAATAGTTTTTGCATTGCCCTCTTCACCTGCCTTTTCAGCAGCCTTTTTCGCTTCTTCCTTGTCCGCTTTCGCCTGCCGTTCCATCCGTTCGCTGTGTCGATCATTGAAGAGATCAAAGTGCTGCCTCATGATAATGGTATACTTGACGAATTCTTCCATACAGTCGACTAGCCTCTCGCGGTTTCCAGAAGGCATCAATCGACTGCCACCCTCGGCTTCTGCGCATGCCTCAACATTTGCAGGATCAATGGCATCCGTGAATTGTGTGTATGCTTTCGGGACGGAGCTCTGGTTGGGAATCGTGAACATTCTCATCCACCTCCCTAGCATACGTAGAGAGTTGACGGTGTTGAATGATTGAGATCCTCCAGAGACTTGTGCGATGGCGAGGGTTCGACCTTGAGTTGGGCGTACAGATCCAGTACTCAGCGGAATCCAGTCGATTTGATTCTTGAACACGGCCGTCTATTGTCGCACTCAGTTCAACAGCGATCAAGTCAACCAAGTTTGTCAAACGTACAAGATTGCCATGCTGTTCGGGCGAAACCCAGATGTGTCCATCACTCCACTTGCTCAACTCTCGTAGCTCCTGAACCTTTTCATGGTTGTGCTGAACATCGTCTTTGACTGGCAGACCCTCTGGGTTGAAGACACGGACATCACAGCCTAGACGAAAGAGAATCCGCGCACACTCGAAGGCTAATAGACGAGAGTATGATCTTGGGAACATTAGTAAACATTTCTCCCACTCGATGTCTCAACGCAACGTACCGACTTCGCATGCTTCCATACAAAACCATAACCTTCAGTCTGTCCCCGGAAGTTCTCTCCAGATCAGCATCGGCCATTTTGATTGCTGTACTAAGCTCCAGCTTCGATACCCAATCGTTCTTGGCAATCTCATTGGGAAGAAGGAATGGCCGAAGTCTTTCCCGTATACTCTTGTCATCTTCACTTTCGGGAATGGCCAATGATGTTTYGAAATAGGCCGGATCAGGAGGTAGAGCGACGGTTTTTCGCAAAACTTCGGTGTTGTTCAAATCTTCATGGACGACTTTTTCGGCTTGAGTCGCCATGGCCCGGATGGCGTCTGTTCGAAAGCGCTGAAGTGGTTGGTTATTGATCAAAAGTGTAATGTTTTGTTGAAGGCCAATGTCAAGGACAGCAAAGTGTTTCGACGGGAAACGTCTCAGGAGCCGAGCAACGGAACTGCAGCTCTGCATCAAGTAGAGCTGTTGCCTTGTTTAGGAATCGACAAAAGAAGCTGACGAGGGAAAGAAGCTAGGTCTCGGTGTGAATTGGACAAATATCTTGTCAATATCATCATGTAGATGAAAAGCAATCGCTAGGCGAGTCGTGGTTTCTGTTTCTGTTATTGATTGATTGATTTCACCAATCAAATCCTGCCAATGACATCTCGGTGTTGTGGATGCCTGAGGCGAGATATTTGGTGCTCAATGTAGAATACTCTTTGCTTGATATGAGATAGATAACAACGACATCATTAAAGCACATGTCGTCGCTTAGTCGTCGTTCTAGCCATTTATCTGGACTTGCAATCTTGCGACGGTGATGCAAGACTTTGTCGCCATCGAAGCTCACTCCTCGTCGTGTTTGATCTCATGCATTGTATGTACTTTCTAGCTGCTAGCTTATGGTATTCACAACAACAACAGTAGCATGTACATCTCGTAATGGCTCCGGAGCGAAGGACGGCAAAGTCCAAGTTTATCGGGTTCCCTGGCGATAAATTAATCACCACGCTCGCGAACGGGTAGTGGTGATTAGTGATGCATCCCGCAGAGAGTGTAATGTGCGCGTCGGATGAATTATCGTTGATGTAAATAGGATAAGGTGATGTTTCTGATCCCGTCATTCATCGCTCAAGGCGACAACCTTCAGTTTCACCGTTTCTTAAAAGACCATGACACGAAACGAAGGATTGAAGCTATTCAGGATTAAGCCGAAAGAACGATGAGACGGGACGGTCGTTGTCATGGAATTTTCTGCCGCTTCACATGTAATAACCCGGCGCTTGCACAGAGAGCACCATCAAAAGATTACCTGGTATCATTGGAAAACTTGAAGGTTCCATGGAACGGTCTTTTCTCAACTTACCTGAGATGGTAACTTAGGAGGTAGAAAAGCAAGTAAGAGCGCCCAGCCAAGAAAGTCACGAAACCCAAAGCAACTTCCGTCCCCCAAATTAGGGTTTGTGATTCGCTAGCGAGTGGAAAGAAAGGTGTCATCGAAGCCGCCGACATCCGGCGACAACACCACTCCACCTCCCAGGAGAAACGACGCAGAACCCATCGCGTATTTCCAACACGGCCATCGAATCAATTACTGAAATTCTTCAAAACTACCAAACTGCACCCGGCGCTTTCGGCTATCCAATTTTTCTGATGTTCTGGGGCTGATTTGGGGCGATTCTGTCGCATCGCTCTCACTGTTGTGAAGAGATTTCTGACGCGCGCCAACGGCGGAAGTTCGGGGGCCTGAGGCATTCACACCAAATGTCCGCGACTAGAAGTAATGCTCGCCATGTCCGCCAACGCAAACTCAACACCAAACAGGGCTTGCGTATAACACGCGAGCATGATATTGACGAGACGCTTGATGATGAAGCCTCTCGACAAATACCTCAGCTTGAGACGGGTGTCGAGAAAGGTGAAGAAGTCGTATGTTGCGCCCTCACTCACCTTCTTGCTTGACATCTCACTAACCCTCCCATAGGAAGTCCATCTGCAAGCCGTGATTAATGCCAACAATGCCACTGCACTCGGCGCAAATGCGCATCAAAGTTACATTCCAACGCCCGATGCTGTTCGGGCGACGGATGTGAAATTTGATGAGTTATACCCCAAGGTCTTCACCGAGCCCTCGACATATATTCGTTTCAGCTCGACGCTTGAAGATTGCACTGGTGTTGCGTATTGCATGAACGAAGATGACGCTGCATTCCTCGCACAGCTCAACGAAGGCAAGGATGTCAACGGGCAGCCGCTCAAAGACAAGTCGAAACAGTGCTCCGAAGACACCTTTGAAGAGATTATGAATTTCTTCGAAGAGGTTAGCAAGCGAGAGCAGCCCTTTGCCAACCTAGGCAGTGCTCCTCTTTTGACTCTCGATGAGATGCAGAGAGCCTGCGATGAAGATGAGCCACTTTCTTCTGATGCGCAATGGTTTTTGAGCACGGTGTACGAGTATTGGGCTGGCCGAAAGGGCGACCGTCCGATGATGCCAAGTATCAAAGTCCGAGTCTTGGATGCAACATCAGAAGCGGATGAGGCTGACCCGTATGTATGCTTCCGTCGTCGTGAAGTGAGGCAAACCCGCAAGACTCGTGGCAGAGATGCTCAAGTTGTTGAAAAGCTCAAGAAGCTGCGATGGGAGCTTGAACAAGGCCGCTCGCTGGTGGAAATGACTAGACTCCGAGAGGAAAAGAACAAGGCTGCTCTCGAAAACACCAGGAAGATATTTGACCAGCGGCAGGCACTGAAAGAAGTCAAGATCACCAAGCAAATCATTGGGGAGAAGGGAGAGGACGAGGAGCTGCTGGTCAATCAAAAGGTATGCTTACCCATGAAGTGCGTGTGTAATGGCTTGCTGACAACTCTTAGCCCCTCATCAAAGCAAACCGTTCAGGCGGCAGTCAACAACGCCCAACACTCCGACTCAGTCGCTCGATCGGCGGTGGCAATGCTCCCGAGAATGATCTCAACTCTCTGGCTGACATGCAGGCGGAGAGTGAAGCGCTTGTGAACCACACAATTGAGAGCCGAAAGGATCAGCACAAACGGTGGAACAACCAGTGGGAAGACCTGACCTGGCATCCTCTCACGCCGCCAGCAGATGTACCCGAACAGGCAAACAAGTGGGCTTCGCTCATGTCCCACGTGCCTGGCTACCCGACGCCGCCGGCATCTAGAAGCTCGCAGGATCGCGATGGTGACGTGGAAATGCCGGACACGCAACCTCCAGAGCAGGACGCTCTAGCAGGTGCGGAGGAGGAGTATCGTTTCAATTATTCAGTGCCGTCGCCACTGTACCCGATGGATACATATTACGGAGACGACGACACGTGTGCCAGACGTTTCGAAAAGCCAGTTTGTCGCCTACGCCGTGGCCGGGGTGGCCGAATGCATCTTGAAGCGAAAAAACATCGACTGAGAGGCGCCATCAGCAGAGGTGTTGTATCCGACTCTGAGAGTGATGATGAAGTCGTGGACTACTATGCAGTATCGGAAGCGAAGGCCTTTGACTATCGCTGCGCGTTGAATAACAGGCCCCGTTCCGATAGTTCACGGCCTAGCGGAGATCAGACCGCTATCATGGCTGGGGCACAGGCTCCTTTGGCAAACCAGACACAACCTGCTTCGACTGGCGGTAGCGTGTAGCGGCTAGCCGGGCATCAAGTTTGCTGTACAATATCCCGTGGCGACATGCCCAGCATTGTAACGGATTGGAAGGATAGGATGGGATGGGATAAGATAGCGTTGATACCCGGAAGCAGAATTGTACTCCTATTGCAGTGGTGTTGATTCTTATTTCTTTCCTGGGTTACGGATCGCGGCGGCTTCGTCCTCCAACGTGTCGGCAGCTCTCTTCTTCGTCCCGAGGGTGATGTCCGCAACAGCATTGACGGCTTCTTCAAGAATCGACTTTTCGCCCTCGATGACTTGCACGGCCATGGCTCTTCTCTTGTCGCCAGTGCCAGCTTCATCGACCGCCATGGACTGGGACTCGGGCGAGTACATTGCATATCGATAGACCAGCACCGTTCGAAGTAGTTTCTTGGCGTCGATGGACATTTCAGGTTTGGGCAGCTTGTCCTTTTTCTTCAACTTGTCGAATTCCACCTTTGAGGTTGCCAGGAGGTTGAGCAGAACACACAGCTCTTCGGGGAATTGTCCGTCCTCGTTGTCTGCGTGTGCGATATCGTAGCCATCGTCTACGACTCCTTGCTCTTCACCAAACTTCCATCGCTCGTCTAGCTCGTTGGCTGACAGTCGGAGTTGTTTCTTCGCACGCTCCTTGATCAAGCTCGAGGTGATTTCAACCACGTCGTACTTGGCGTAGTTGTCTGTCACATATCCATATCGCCGGAGCACGTCTGCTCTGGGTAGCGGACCGTAGTCGTTGAACAGCTCTTGTCCCGCCTCGACAGGCTTAATCGTCTTCATCACCACCTTGTCATCCTCGTAGAAGAGTTTGGCATTGTTGCGATCCGCATCAGCGTTCAGCATATCCGCAAGAGGCACCATTCCTTTAGGTAGTAATCCCTCCTCATCCTCGTCTTCTTCCCATCCATCCTCTTCATTCTTTGATCGATCATTCGAAGCCTTCTCGAGATCGAATGCGTAGGCCATAATGGTGCTTCCCATTCGGTGGCACAACGCCAACAGCTCTTCGTTGTTGCGATTTCCGGTGTTGGCGTACTGGCCGATGATGGGTATGAGCTGTTCCGTGAATGTAGTATCTGCTCCGTCTTTGCCAATCTTGTCGACTACGGCGCTGCCTTGCAAGTGCTCGAGATCGTCGTCGGTCCAGTACATTAGAGAGTCGAAATTTTCAGGCAAGACGTCGAAGTAGGATTTCCACTGCGATTCGGAACCGCGGAGGTACTCGTAGACCATGGCGACGATCAACGAAAGCCATGGATCGTTGATTTCCTTCTGGGCTGCTTCGGGGAGAGAGGAAGTCTCTACTGTGAGGATGGAAGATCGCGGGATGCTGAAGAGCTCCTCATCTTCGCTGAGATTCTCCGTGGCGACTAGAGTAGTGTTAGCGACCATGCCGGTGGGTTGCAACTCTCTGTGATCCTCATACCTATACCGCGACCAGCGCCAGAGGATCTCAAGTCCGCAAGCTGGATTCGGGAAGATATCGTTGCGCCGTTCCCTTTCAGCCATGTGAGAAAGCGTTCGGATGCTGTGGAGAAGTCTTTGTCTTCGACCATTGTGTTGGGTCCTCGGGATATCGTGCAGAGTGCATATGCAAGGACACGAAGAAGATGTGGAAGTGTGGAAGTGGGTGGTGAAAATGCCCAGGCATGACGGCGCTAGTGCTGGAGATCGGCAGAGTTGCAGCTGCTCTCGATACAGGGTCGGTGTACGAATTTTGAGGGTCGGGTCAGAACACGGCGCGAGCACGTGAGTTCTGATTGATGGGGGCGCCATCAAAATGCTAATTAAGAAATTAGTTGGGCAGCAAAGTATCCTCGTCCTCGTCCACGTCCTCGATCGACACCGTACTTTCCCTGTTCCTGATAGTGCAAGGTCTTACTTAACCTCACCTCTCACGTCCTCATGTTCTTTGATGAGTCTCCCATCTCTGTATCCCATTTTCAGGATTCTTTCTCCTGTCTCCAGATGCGTTGCAGACTGATGGCAATGGACGAGAGGGGAGGGTTCAGTACATGTACTTGACTTCGCGGAAGTGGTGACCTCATTCATCACCGACTGCGCTTCAACTCCAAACATCGAGCAATCCCGTGCTGGATGGAAGCGAAACCAATCAGTATACGGCTAGCACGCGGCAAGCGATCCGACAAGGCAGTAATACGAGCCACGGTGCTGACCAACAGCCGACAGTGTATTGGAAAGGTAGCTAGAGGAGATGGGTTTGATGGCAGCAGGATTACTTGCACCAGTTCGGTTCGGACAGCGATTCCAGGGATTTCACTCGTATAAGCAAGACCGACAGGACTAGTACACTGTTTTCTGGTCGTATACAGATGGTGAGATCGAGTCAGCGGTACTGGATAGTAAGTGGCATTGGATGGTCAGTGGTGCTGAACGGTCAGTGTTACTGGATAGGCCCGCATTCTCACTAGATTACGCATACATCAAACTCCATTGGCTTCGCTGCTAAAATGCAGATTGCATTAAAACGGACCATTGGGAGACCATGTGACCAATGACGCGGAGATCCGGCGACAATACAGTGGCATACCGCTTTCTTTTTCGTCCATACCGCTGGTTTGACTTCTTAACTAAATTGTCAAGCTGAAAGATCAACCACATCATGAAAAGACACCATTCTCATCATAGAGACCAGCTCGTTCAGGGGATGGGCACATATATGATAGTGCCCACCCCTTGCCTCTCCCCTTTCCTCTCTTGCATGAATCCACAAAGATGCGGATCCTAACCCCAACTGCGCTACTGCTCTCGGCAGTTGTTACGCTTGGTGCTGTTCATGGGGGTCGACGTGAAATTCAGCAAACCTCAACTGCTACCCAGGCGCTCGTGGCAGAATTCGCCAGTGCTACGCCGCAAGCCACGAGGCCCTCTCCTACAATCGACCACAACAAGCCCTCGAAAAGCAAGGACAAGAGAGCGCTACTCGCAGCTGTACACCAGGCAGCCGAAGATGAGTATAAACGGAAATTCCACGAAGACGACGACTATGGCAGATGGGCAAAGGATCCGAACCTCAACAGAGGGCCTTACTGGAGCAAACCGTTTCGATCTATACTCTATGCGCACCCTAGTGAGTGGCAGTGTCCAGCTTTACATAACACGCAACTCTGCATATGCTGATGAACTCCTCAGACAAAACCGTGATCGACCGTGGAGTCGGCCAGGCTAAAGCGTGGATGGCGGATGACAGTGGTTACATTCATGACAAGACGGCCGATCTCGCAAAATTGACGGACAGGGAGAAGCAGAAGATCGGCTTGATGCCAAAACTCAACAGAAGGCTCCGTTAGTGGATTCCAACTCTGCAGATAATTTCGCACTAAGCTGACTGCTGCACAAGCACCCCGACCTGGTCACCCTGAAGACCCAACCGCCCTAGCAGATCCACCCAAAGAAACGAGCACGTCCAAGAAAAAGGCCACCCCCAAGGAAACGGGCACGCCCAACAAACCGGGCAAGCCCAACAAAACGGATATTCTCGACATCTTCACCCACAGAACCAAGAAGAATCTCGCTTCAGCCACAGCCACCACTTCCGCAAGCCCGGCGTTTGTTACCGTTGACGGAGTCAAAGTGTCTGTTGTCCCCAGCGCAGAATCAACCACTCTCTCGGATTCACTTCGTTCGCTCGCCACGGTGAGTGGAGTGACGATAGCTGTCATCACTGCACCCACAACCTCGGAATCCAACACTGCAAAAGCAACATCTGGGAATTCGCTGCGAAATGCATCGCCAGAATCGCCTCGTTCTACTCAATCACACCAAGATGACATGACTCCAGCCATGTCAAAGAGAATGGCCCAAGCTGGGGGAAACCCAATGTTTGCGGGAACCTTTTTAAACGAACACGTCGGACGGGTGATTATACGCGAAGCCATGGCAGCTGTCCACTACGGGGAAATCCCTTACAATGAAGCATTGCCCATGTATAGAGCCTTGTCGCATCTCCCTGCATCAATAAAGCCAGGCCGTGCAAAAGGACTCTGGAGAATAATGGCGAAAAGTCTCGATCGCTGGCGTGAAATTGCGAGTGAAAGAGGAATATCCCTGGAGGAGGCATTGGATAACCTGGCAGACCAAGCAGCGGTGAACCCTCAGAAGGCTATCAGACAGATACTGCGTAATCAAGAGATGGACCTAGGAGATGTTCCAGAAGAAATTCCAAAGGATCCAAACGCTCCAGAGGATCCAAACGCTCCAGAGGATCCAAACGCTCCAGAGGATCCAAACGCTCCCCCAGAAGACAACCCAGGGCCGGCTCCCAAAGATCCAGACGTTCCTCAAGATCCGGATGCTCCCAATGATCCAATTCAACCAGAGACTCCTCCAGAAGTTCCTCCAGAAGTTCCAGAAGTTCCTCCAGAAATCCCAGACGTTCCTCCAGAAGTTCCCCCAGAATTTCCAGCACCCGTCCCTGAAGTCGCAGCTCCCCTTGATGTAGTTCAAGTACCAGGCTCCGAGGTGATTGTGAATGCGGTCACCGAAGGAGGCCTGGAGGCAGCAGGACAAGGAATCGGCAGTGCCATAGGAGGTGAGGCCATTGGAGAAGGGCTTGCAATTGGGGTGGGAGAGGGAGCAGCTGAGGGAGTTGGCCTTGCGGTTGGTGAGGCCGCCGCCGGTGGAGCTACAGAAGCTGCTGTTTTCGCGGCTGAAGGCGCTGTGCTCGGAGCTGAGGTGGCCGGTCTCGCACCGCTTCAATTAATCCCCATCGTAGGCCAGATTATTGCTGGCCTGACGCTTTTTGTCACGGTATGCATCGTGTCATGTGCTATTGTTGTTGGTGACTTGATGCTGATATGATTACAGGTCCTGACTGAGCTCCTCTTGCACCTTCTACACCGTAGTAAGTGCCTCTCCTAGATCTCACCAGCAGAAGCATCTTGCTAATTCAAAGCCTAGACGAACACCCCAAGAATCCCGGTGGCAAACTCCATTTCGCCTGGTCAGTCGAGCATGCATGTCCAAATACTTTGTCCTTATCAAGGTCATTTCCATATCATTGCTAATCTCGACCGCGCTTCACCCTTAGGGATTGGGATGGCATTCCATACCAATACGATGACCAGCACCCGATGCTAGACCAGGGATCGCGCCCTGAGCCAACACCACCTCCGACCGGATGCGACACCTTCGACATGGAAGATCTCGAACGCCGAGGCTGGACAACGACGCAGTGAGATTTCCTCTTCCACCGCGTAACAATTACCTCTGACCATTCACCTTCCTACAGATATGCCATGTACCCTTGCCCAACATTCATCCCCAAAGAATGTGCCAGCGAGTGGTACTTGGAATTCTCCCTACAGCACGCGCTAAAAGACCGACACAACCGGCGCAATCCCGTCTACTGTTTCGAAAGCGTCCCCTTCAAAACCACCCACCACGTAGAAGAATACGAACAAGCCGTCAAAGTCGGCCGTATTGCCGATTACAGCCAATACGCGGGCCACGAACTCGCCGATCTGGATGGATGTCTTGGTGTGGATGCAAAGCGACACGACAAGGAGATGAAGAAGGATTCACCGGGTATTGATCAGGATGTCATGGTTACGCATAAGAAGTGTGTGGAGAAGTTTTTGCCTAAGATGAAGCATCATAATATTGAGGATAAGAAGTGCGCTTCTAAGGAGGAGTGTMAGGCTATTACTGATAAGTAAGTTTGTGTGATTTGTGTCGATGTTGGGAGATGGGTGTACTGACTAATGGTTTTTTTTTAAACTGTGTAGATGGATCCACAAAACGACTGGGTGGCCTAAGGGATGCAAGAAGGCTGAGCCGGGTTGTTGGTAAGGTTGGGAGGCTGGGGATTACGTATATACGAGGCATTGGCTTCTAGGCAAAATTTGTCTATTTGTACCTACATATGGGGGCATTGATTTTGTATATGAGGATATATATACTTGGTATCAGATACGCACACATATAATGCGAATGAAGTTGTGAGAAATGGAAAGTATGTACATGTATTTTGAACTTCGAACAGTCATAACCGCCATCTCATAAACACATCCGTGTTAAATAGGAACGTGTGAATGCATCATAACTCAACTTGAGTTGCTGTATAACAACATTTCGGCCATGACTGTTCGTTCAGTTTTGATGCGTTGATGTCGATGCGTCTGATGTCGATGTGAAGAGCGAATTTCGAGAGCTTTTTAAACGTCCTTACCATCCGCTCTGGACCGGTCAACTTCTAGTGGTTCAGGATGACCAGATCAATCGCTGAATGCTTGGTTGGTTGGTCGGTTGGTTGGTTACATCATCTGTATTCCATACTTAGGTAACCTTTTCGAGTACCAACCAGGTGCTTTGAACTCAGGAATCACGTGGTTGTGTCTCACCACAGCGGAAGGCAAGCCCAAGCGGATGGCGAATGCCTTCAACTGGGTCTGTATGTATGATCCACAAAGACCGTCCCGACTTGCTGCAATGCGATGCGACAGAGCGTGTGGCTCAATGACCGTCGAGTAACAACGCTCTACCTTACCCCTATCAGCTCATCATACCACGCCTCTACGCGAAGACCATCTGGCAGAAACTACTACAAATGCTACAACATTTCAATGCTTGTGGATACATATATAGGGGCTGAAATTCACTTGTAGATAGGCAAGCAATCAAGTCATCAATTTTCACACTTTCGCCATCCTCTCCTATGTTCACCCTATAATGACTACTACATAAATCACCCACATTCACGCAATAGTAAAATCACATAGAACATACCTCTCACTTACACCCAGAAAACTTTCAAACGCTACCAAGTTCGGCAAAGAAAGCAACATCAAAACATGGCATATCCATTATAACGAGACCACCACAACAATAACGAAAGTAAAAAACATGCCACCCAAGAAAAGAATTTCCTCCACACCACACCCAACCAACCACACTCAACACCGAGTGAGCCGCATAAGAATGAGCTCCAAAATATGAACATGATCCCCCCCAATAATCTCCCCAAAATCCCTCAGCTTCCACCTTAACGGCACCCCCCGAATCATGCCCCATCYCCCCCGATCATGACGCCAAAAAGAAACCTGTACTCCATCCGCATCATACCAGCTCAACACCTCGGCGAGCGTACTTGCCAAATCCTGGATTTGTGCGAAATGCTGTGATGCCTCCTTCCAGCGGACTCGAACAATCATTCTCGGTGGTGGTTGATAGTAAAGGATATAAAGAAGAGGAAGTCTTGCGTTTTCAATATTCCTCCGCGCGATTCCGGGAGCGGGATGGCGGAACGCATTCGTGTTTTGGGAGTTTGGATCTAGGAATTCTTCGATGCATTCATTGGCCACAGTGAAATTCGGCGTGGTCGCGACAGAGGCCATCTCGGAACCAGGGGAGGAGGGGTCGGGAGACTAAATCGGTTTGGAAGGACATTGTTTTCTCGCCTTTTTATGCTTCTCGCTGGTTGGAGGTTTTTTGGGCGAGGGAAGGAGGGAGTTGATGGTATACGAATGGTATGGTCTTGGAGGGCGGGAGTAGGGGGTGATTGTATGCTGAAGTACTGGAATGTCGGTGAGCTGGATCTTTGATTTTGCGTCTGCGATTGTATATATGCAATCAATGATCGGATGTTTTGCCCGAATGGTATGTGCGTGCTTCCTCGCCAGATCTCTCAGAACGTTGATGAGAGACAGGTGGGAAAATCTGAGATTTGGCCGAGACCGATCGATCGATGCATATACACATACACATACAAGAAAGGATGTATGTATGGGATTGGGGATGGAATGAGTTTTGACTTTGTTAATTAAGAAGAAGAAGAAGAAGTAGAAGAAGAGGGAGAATAGGTAAGAAGAGGAAAGAGAGGAAGAAAAGGAAGGAGAAGAAGAGGAAGGAGAAAACGAGGAAGGAGAAAACGAGGAAGGAGAAGACGAGGAAGGAGAAGACGAGGAAAGAGAAGACGAGAAAGAAGAAGAGGAGGGAGAAGACAAGGAAGGAGAAGACGAGGAAGGAGAAAACGAGGAAGGAGAAAACGAGGAAGAAGAGTCCCAGGCATACATCGACTTCCATGTCGCTAATAAACTAGCAGTAGTCGTCCTAGATGGGGTATCAGGGAGTCCTGGCTAAATCATCCCATCCAGACTAAACTAAACTAAACTCTTTGAGTTATTCCTTCTTCTCCCATTCTTTTTTTTTCCTTCGAACTTCTCACGCTCTTTATTTCCCAATCTCCCAGCCTTTTTCCCAGGAAACCGCGCCGAGGAATCTCTTAGGTACCCTCGGCCTCGGAATGGAGTGGCGGTAGGTAAGTGCCCGTTGTTGAGTGAGATTGTTGATCGAAGCGGAACGGGGTTTCGAGACTTTGTTATAAGCAGACTTTGGATAAATATGGCCATACGGTGTCAGTGTTGGACTATAGGTACTTTCCGTCCCTTTCTATCGTGTGCATTCTACATCTCCATCTCATTTTCCCGAACGAAGAGATTGGTAGACGAGACAAGTGACTACGAGGGTATGAATGTGGGCTTCTTGCAGTCACTAGACGTATACGAAAGCAATGGTAGATGCTATGGCCTGTCCAGGAGGAAGGAAGGCAGGCGTGTAGTCTCACTGGCGAAGTCTTGAAGTCGTGCTTACTTCTGATCATGTCGATGGTTATAAGGAAATGCAGAGTGGAATTGGAATGTCGGTTTCCCATCTGGCTGGATTGGATACATGAAGCGACGATTGTCCATCTGTTAAGGATACTGGCGGTACTAAGTTCAGGGGCTTGCCGTGGTGAAATCAAAAGCCTTTGCTTCACACCTCCCCCTCGACTTACAACGCTATCAACCCACTCCACCTGTAAATCTCACTGACACGTCACCCACGGCTTGTGCTCGTTGGGACAGTACATGGGTACYATACACACAGCCAGTCCCATATGAGCCCAGCAATGACCGCCGTCGCAGCACGTCTCTCCGCTACATTGCTCTAATTGCGAGCGAAGGATACGTCAGCTCAATCTCACCTTTCTTTCTTTCTTCTCGATGGGACGGACACACGTACCGCCCTCTCCCTTACATTCCCGCTTCGCCGTGCGACGACCGAAAAGGTTGGGAGTGACCATCTCACGTTTCGTTTGCTTTACGGGAGGGTGAGCTGGGGGGAGCTTATCGTCAATTGCTGGATGGCTGGGGATCTGAGTGAGATCTGGCTTTCGATCTTTGAAGGGATCTGGGGCGCATGTGGATTTTTGGCCTTTCCCTACGGGAGGACACCACAGTCCCATGCAGCATTGATCTTTGGTACATTCTTCTAAAGTAGGATGGTGGTGTTAGAGAGACATATTTTCCACTCATTGTCGTAGTGGTTTTGGGGGTTTTTTTTTTAACTCTGTGATTCAGAGGATGGGGTTGAGATGACTCACTGCCGTTCTGTTTGCAGGCCCTCTTGAATAGGGGATTAGGGTCGGAGCTCGAGACCTGTGCGTCGGATGGGATGGAGGCGACGTCAGTAGTGTCGTCTTCAAAAGACTCGTGCAAGAGAGAGCCAGGGAAGGCCGCGACTGTGGCCGCTAGGGCCAGGAAGAGGAAGGAAGGCTTCATTTTCGGCTTTGAGAAGATACGGGAAAGGGAATTTCGAGAGAGAAATGACGTGGAGGAGTTCTTTAGTAGTTTTGTGCGAAGTTTGAAATGTGTACATGTTTTTCCCTGGCCGTCGTGATCCGGTAGAGTTCATGGCTACCGCGGTGCGACCATGTAAAGGCGTGGAGTCGAGCAATCGAAGAGGGGATGTAAAGAACAATCCAAAGAATCCAATTGGCGGGACAATGCTTTCTACGGTTCCCTTTGGAGAGCTAAGCGGCACATGGCTGCCATGGTGAAGATCCGCAGCTTTGTCTGCTGCCCTCGGTCTCCGCTTTCCATCTAAGTCCCGCTTCATTCCTTGATTCTGTAAGTACAGCTACGTGTCACATTCATCTCACACTATACTCGAGCCCCGTATGAAGCACTGAACAACCATTTGCGTTTATCGTGTGTTCTACCGGGCGAGCTCTCCTACAACATCCTCTCTCACAATTACGAGGCGGTCCGGCAACATATCATGACTGACGTAAGTTCTGCAGAGCTCGGTCTTGACAGATGTTATTAGTCGAAGTTCGTTCGGCGGTCTTGAGATACTCACAAGAAAGTATTGGKGATATAGACTTGCTGTAGTATCTCACCTTTTCGGGGGATCCTTCGGCTTTTGATAGGAGCCACCGGTAGGAATAGTCGGTTTGGTAGGATCCAGAAACAGATCGGCATCGCGCCAACTGGAGTCTCGGTGGTAGGTAGAGGTGGTCGTAAGGGTCACCGCCAGGAGGCCGGAGAGTATTGATAGTTTCATCTTGTGGATGACGATTCTCGACAAGTGACTGGGAATATCATTCGAGGCTCTTGCAGATATCTATGATCTCCGGTAGTCGCGCAATAGATATCAGGCATACATGGGCAATGCTGCTAGAACCCGGGATATCTTGGCGGAATCCAATCAGCCTTGATGATCCGCTAGCCCAGCCTTCCACTGCCCAAGGCGAGAGAAGTATTTGGGAGGTCATTCCATTGACACTACTTCCTGGTCACGACGAATGCTTATCGAATGATCCAGAGCCTGTCTGACACGGTAATCCTGCCAGCGCATCTTCACGGTCAATTGAGTGGCGCGTCGTTCCTCTTTCCCATTCGTTTCGGCCGGATGTGTACGTCTCACAAACTCCAGCCTTGTGATGTAAGCGTGTTTAGTCCTTTAAAACACGCGTGTCGTGAACAAGTAGAGCACGTCGAAAGACGTGGTGTAAACGCACTAAGTAGAGAGCATTCTGTTCTCTTGTATCGTCGAGCTCGCGAAGTGACATTGACGCCTGCACATCCACTCCGGCTGTTCGAAAGCTGGGCTCTTTCCATTCCATCCGAGTCGTCGTTCAAAGGAGGAAGTGGTGAAGGAATACCTAGAGGTCGTTAGCGCCAGGCCTGATTTGTTGCCTGAGGTTAAGCGAGTATAAGCGAGACCTTCGACCAATCAGATACGGCGCTAACAGCCCCCAGATATATCACCACCTCACTTCCTCCTTCAATCGAAAGACCATCTCGGCGTCCCTTCAGGGGCGGGAACCGCTGAGCGCTCAGACCCTAACGACACCATCACACTCATCACAACGGAAGGTCTACATATGCTCTATCAACGTGTGCTCGAGGAGAATTCAGGCGGGAGCGGTACGACAGGCGTTCACATTCATTGCATATGCACATGTTCACCACAGGAGATACCAAACAACCAGATATCTAAGGCGCTTCCTGGATGTGGAGAATGTTATCAAAATGCACGTTCAGAAGCGGCTCTCGTCATATATTGCAGCTAGGCAGCAAACGTGCGACATTCCCACTATCATGGCGACTGYACAAACACATAACATATTCACCACAATGGCCCATGAAAGTACGGCCGTACACATCTCTACCCAAGACGACAACAACAAAGCTTCCACCCATTTCCAGTTGTGCTCTGGAGGAGGAGAGCCTCCCAAGCTACCGTGCCGAAGAATTCTTTCCCGTACATCTGGGTGATACGATCAAGTCGCGTTATCACGTCATCGGCAAACTGGGCTACGGTGCGAATTCGACCGTGTGGTTCTGTCGAGACATTCAGTGAGAAGCATCTTGATCTCTGCCTACGTTGATAGGTCGTCATCGTCTGATACCACTTTGCAGGAATGACCAGTACGTTATTGTGAAAGTTTACCTCCGAACTCCCCCTGGACGTGTCAACCGCGAGAAAGCGGCATACGAACACCTAGCGAATCTGAGCACGACACATCCAGGGCATTACAATGTTCGACAAGCGCTTGACATCTTTGATCTTTCGCGCCCTGAAGGCGCAGTACATGTGTGCGTTGTCCATGCTCCGCTCCAATGTACGCTCTACGACTTTCAAAGACTTCATGGTGTTCCTCAAGTATTGCCTGAAGAACTTGCGAAGATGGTAATGAGTAATCTACTCGAAACTCTCGACTTTCTCCACACCGAAGCGAACCTAACACATTGTGGTATGTATAGCAGTAACAACGCATAATTTACTCCGAGTAACTAATTCTTCCCATGAATAGACTTGAAGCTTTCCAACATCATGCTTCGCGTAGAAGATGAGAGTATCTTTGCTGATTACGAGAAAGCAGAAACCCATAGTCCAAGCGATCGAAAGTCCATTAATGGAGAAAGAACTATCTATGCTTCTCGTGCTTTCCGACGTCCTCGGGCGAATGCATACGGCCAACCTGTCCTATGCGATTTCGGTGAAGCTCGCATTGGCGTTCCGCAGGCTTATATCGAAATTCAACCGGAAATATATAAAGCGCCTGAGATTTTGATGCAATTTGAATGGGGCCATTCAGTCGACATCTGGAACGCTGCTTGTCTAGTAAGCCATGTCCTTATCTTTTACCGCTGTCTATCATTGGCAAAACACTGATCGATGTTTAGCTATGGGAGATGCTCGAGACCGAACATCTATTTGATGGTTCAGACAGCGAAGGATTACACAACAATCGCTACCATATGAATGAGATTGTGGGATTACTCGGCGAACCACCCCAGACATTTCTGCGTAGAAGTCCACAYGCAAGTCGCCTTTTTGATGAGACTGGTAGGTCGTCGCCTAGAGGAAGATCTGGCTGTGTTCGAGATCAGAGGTGCTAACCATCACATCTCTGATTAGGAAAATGGAATGTAGACCCTCCTATTACCTCCTTGTCGTTGGAACTCCGGTCAAAACGCCTGGAAGCGGATGGTAAAGCAAAGGTTGTTGATTTTCTACAATGTATGCTTCGTTGGATACCCGAGGAAAGGTTAAGCGCGAAAGAACTTCTCCAGCACCCCTGGCTATCAGAAGACAGCGGCTGAAAAGCATTACTACGTGGAGGGATTTCCGACCTTCCTATTCCTTCCTTTCGCAAAGCAATCTTGTTACTGCTAGTGACCTCTAAGACGCCATTATCTGTAGCCACGGCTCCTTGAGAATTTCCGTAGCTCGTTTTCTCTCCTCCGGAATCCATTTCAACATGGTTCGTACGAAGTGAAGGAAGGACTCCTTGTTGTCGCCACTCAACGACAGCTGGACTTGATCCAGAGATACTGACGGCACTTGTACACCGCCCGCGCCCTTCCAACAGCCTGATTTGTGTTAGAGCGCAAGAGAAAGATCCAGGCACACGAAAGAGACTGACCTTGCTTATCGAAGAYATTCTTCGTGACATCACTGCGACGGAGGTACTCGAGAGGTGGAAGTCCCAGGTAAGCGACCATTTCGGCAACGTGGTCTGTCGCAGAAGTCTCTTTGTTTGCATCCATGGCACTGAACAAGTGTCGATTCTCCAATAGATCCCAGATCTGTGAGTCGGGTCAGACGTGTTACTCGGAGCTGTGTAGATACTGATAGAAGTTACCAGCACAGCGACATTCCAAATGTCGACCGCTGAGCTCCATCTCATGTTGAACAGGACTTCGGGCGCGCGGTATAGTTCGGGTTGGATGAGTCCCGTATGGAGTGATCCAATTCGAGCCTCGCCAAAGTCGCAAAGAACCGGCTGACCCCAGAGTGCGTCCTTGGGCATTCCTAACCTTCGAGAGCCGTAGATTGTTCGGGCATCGTCAATGACCTTCGCTGGTGAGGGTCTTTCGGCTTCAGATATTTCGAATTCCGTGAAGAGTGATTCATCATCGACGGTCAGCATGATGTTTGACGGGCTAATATCTGTCTCAGGTCAGGCGCTAAGCTACCAGGACACAACAACGATTTCTCACCTGTATGTATTACTCCTGCTTCGTCGTGAAGGTAGGATAAAGCGCGCAATATATTAGAGAGTGTCCATTTTAGGAGTTGTTCTGTAAGCTTTCGTGATGGACTCTGGTATTGTAGCTCTCGAATCGTCATGTGCATCGGTTGCTGGACAAGGCATAAGTGCTCTCCGATCGGACCCTTCACTGTGAAGGTGTCGAGGAGACCGCGAATGAAGAACTGGCCGGGATGTTGTGTAGTCAACGAACTAACATGTTCGTAGAAGCGTAACTCTCTTTGATTTTGATGAGATCGATTCGCTTCCCATGTACATACCTTGACAGCCACAAAGCCAGTTTGTCGAGTGTCTCGGCAGAGCCAGGAGGTAGAATGAGCACCATAGCCCAGCTTCCCTACGACTTGATACTTGGATGCCATTACATCTCCAATGCGGACTGGATARAACTGATCCGGTCTGTACCAGGGCAGTCGCTCTTCCTCAAACGGCAGTGAAGGATCTATTGCTGTGGTCCTGATGGCAGCTTTTTGGCCACGGCCGATCCATCTTATGGTAGACAGATAAGGCCTTCGTACTGTCCGAATCATCAATAAGCTGATCCTGTCAGGTCCGTAGAAAGCTATTCTGGCAGAGCCGAAATCGGAATGCACCAAGTCTTGTTGCTGCAGTACGTGGGCCGGCGTCTCGACGATTAAAATAGAACGTGGACGTCCACGCTATGCTTGATAAGGATTGCAAAGGTGAGGAGCGCGGCAATCACGCGACGCCCTCCCTCGCTCCTGTCGACACTCTGTGCTGTTTCGTGTCGCTCCTTCCATCCAATTGGCTCGCGATATCACACCGTCATTCTCGAACTCCGAGCGYCGGTGATGWATGCTTGGCAAATCCTTCGCCTCCGAGCCTGCAGCTTCAACTCCAACTCCGAGGCTATAGAACAATGGAAGCCCCGCCAGACCCATCGCCTCTGCTCGGCCTGGTCGAGGTATCGCAAACATCAAGGTCATGTCAGAAGCCGCTTCCCCTCGTATGATACCCGTCAAGCGCCGCAATGGCAAGTTGCAAAGCTGTGAGCCCTGCAGAAAGCGGAAACTTTCATGCGATCACAGGTAGGTAAGGTAGAGCATCTTGTATCATCTCAATAGCGATATCGAGAAGGAATTCTTTGCTGGCCGTTCATCCGTCGATGCTACAGAATGAATGCTGATACGGCTTAGGCTGCCATACTGTACGAGATGCATCAAAAGGGGAACCTCCAATCTTTGCTACTATCATCCCGCCCCGATGACAGGCCGATCTGCTGCAGGCGCAATTCCATCGCCTATACAGTCCATTGCAACATCTCCTCCCAACTCCGAATTGATGCCACAGCCTGCGCACACTTCCTCTTCAACTACACGCTCCCAAAGCGTTCCTCCCGATCGCCACTCGAAGATCTTGAGCGTCCCATCGGCAGGAATCCTGTTCGAATCTTCCGAGAGGGTTCGATCGGTGGGTTTCCTTGGTGTAACGAGCTCGACTGCCATTGTAGCGGAACTTAACAGCAGTCTCGGCATTAACGCACCTGAACTTCCAAACGAACCGCACATTGGTTGCGTCTCGGAAGCACTTGTACGGCGAGGGGTGCAAGTTCTCTTGTTTTTTGAAGACGAAGCCCGAATCCGACAATGCTTGCAGCATGGCTTTGGACTTGGAGACAATGAAGGCTTTCTCATCTATCGTCCAGTGTATATGGCTTGGCTGGAAGGCTTTCTGCCGGTTCTCAAGAATGCCGTCAGAACCAAGTCACTCGAGGCGTTGTCGGCCAAAATATCGAGAAACACACGGAAGCCAGTGATATGTAACCGCTCCACAACCGCATTGGATTKGGCGCAGGCAACCACGGGAGAGAATGTGCGTTGGGAAACGCTTGGCTTAATCCTCTCACTTACTGGAGTGGTCACTGCGTTATTGCCCACCTGGCATCATTCATTTGGTTCTAATCCCAAAGATGCAAGATCGAAGCTGAGAGCGACTGTCTTTGATCTGGTCAATCTATGCGTCGACTTCAGCAGAGCATCCGGGAGTCGCGACGAGCTACTGGTTGTGCTTTTATATGACCGCTACATCTATCACGGTATCATACAAGGCGATACCTCGACCGAGGCGTGGACCAGGTTCTCGGAAGTCTGCGACATGATCATACTGCTGGGTATACATCTCGGGTCGAGCGTTGATGCACAAACACCATTCTTTTTGTGCGAGCTTCGGAAAAGACTGTTCTCCGTATGCTTTACCATGGACAAATTCTTGGCCACCTTCCTAGGCCGGCCGCCAAAGATCAGTTACAGATACTCAGTACTGCAAGAACTAAGCGATCTCTCCAACGATGAATTGTGTCTTGATGAAGCGGGGATACAAGTAGCTTTGAACGCACTCGATAACGGCTGGAATACTTCTCGTCGTCCAACCCGAACGACATGGCGCAAGGCGCGCTTTGCCCGAGGCGAGGTCGCTGAAGACATTTTAGAGATTGCGATTGGGTCACGCCACGAAAATATGGAACGACGCATTGAGTATGTTCTCGCACTGGTGACACCTTGTGAATGACCGCTGACATTGCCAGGCAAGTCCAGAAACGAAGACAAGAAATCCACGACGCCATGCCAGAGTTTGCAAGAACAGACGCGGAGCTCGTCATGTCAAAGATGCAGACTGATCCAGGGACGTTTCGCTTGCCTGGTTGGGACTGTGGATGGACCCCATTGGATGTGCAATGCGTGATAGGCTATCACTCAGGTAAGACAAGAAAAACATGTCTTCCCGCCAACATGCTTCCCACGTGAGCCATCAGCAGCTAACCTTCCTTGTTGTAGCCGTACGACACCAAGACTTTCTGCTCGAACGAGCCGTCTTCAACAGACACAAGCAGGACTCCTCCCGGCTTGTCGCAGCGGCGAAAAGTTTGCTAACTCTCATTACCAAGGCATATGCCTTGAAAGACTGCTGGCAATTCAAATGCGACATTACAGATATGGTAACGAATGGCTTGAAACCTTTCCAACGACCTTTTCTAACGCCAAACAGTTGGCATTCTTCGCTGTACCAGCAGCTGGCGTACTTGCAATGGAAATTATGAAGCGTGATCAAATCAACGACCCAAATGACACATTTCCTCGCAGCGAGACTGTTCAGCAGATTTGTGTTCTCGTCAGTGCGTTGGAGGCAGTTAGTAAGTGAAGGTGACCATCTGCATGAATTGACCTGCTAACCACAACGATGAATAGATCCTGACGAAGGAGGGAACCACGCCTTATGTGCAATGGGTCTCTCTGCCATGAAGAAAGTGCTTGATCGTTTGCTGTCTAGACCCTTACCCCGACCAATCGCCTGTGATATCATCCAACCGCCAGTCCAAATGGACCACTCTTTTGGCGTCTACATGGACAATGACGCAGATTTCCTCCAATGGATGGACTCTACCGACTTCGACACAAATCTATGGGATCCGCTACACATGCAAGGAAACGTGTCCTGATGAAAAGAGGATACTACGAAACGGAAAGAGAGCAATTCGTAATACCGACGACGACGGTACGTCAGTCAATCAAAAAAGAGGATATAAATCTATTCTGTCCCATAAAGGTATCATAACTCATTTACTCGCAAAGAGGGTACATCTGGTAAGCATGCCTCAAAGTACAAAAAGTCCCCAACGACGCCGTCGCTAATCATAACAGATATGCATCAATCAAACAGGCCGACTATCAAATCACTCAATATGTGAAAGCCCTGTTCATTTGAGGCCTCTCGGGTCTGGTTCCGAGCAAGTCACCCCAATCTCCCTTGGCAGTAGGAGGCTCGGCTTTCCAGCAGACAGTCGTCTGAGCGCGACTGTATCTTCGCCCGGCCGACTCTCGGAGTGGTTGCTGTATTGAATATCCATAAGGGTTGGCGCGACCCGGAGCGACCGATGCTTTCCCCCTCCCCGCATCCAGCAAGTCGGTGGAATAGTTGTYGCCTTTCAGTCGATCCAAGCTAGCAGAAGATGACGATCCCACATCGGATTCGGTGGAGTTGTTGCGAAGCTTGATACGAGCCCAGCTTCTCGCCATGAGGGAAGGCCGTCGATGCAATTGTGGTTGTGGTACGGGCTCGGGTTCTGGCTGGGGCGACCAACAGTTGGCGTCAAAGTATGAACAGCATACATTTTCCTCGAAGCGGACGTGCTTCCGAGCCTTCTTGGATGATGTCGTGTTGCTGCTATCGGTGTCGCTGCTGCAGATGCTAGTCCGTGCACTGTCGTGACGCTCGCTGATTGTCGTCGACTCCGATGCGTTGGTTCGGTCCGAAGCCGATGCAAGATCCATGGAGAGCACCAGATTCAAGGACATGACTGGAAGTTTGGGGCTGCCCATTGAGGCTGACATTTTGTGTATCTCTGCCATGTAATATGTAGCTCTTGAAAATGTGTGGWGGTGGTCGAGAGGAACACTCTGATATCGGATGAGGGCAAGAATCAAGGGATCTCGTTCGCGCGTAGCAAATGCGTTCTCGACAGGTCGAGGTGCAGGCCGATGGGCTTTCAACGTTTCAGCCCTGTCGTGGGGAGACCGGGTTCGCAAGATGCAATGCAAGATCGAGGTGCAGTTCTTGTGTTCTGTGCAACAAAGCAGAAAAAAGTCGGGTGAATGGGTAGTGGGTTTCGATGGATTTCGAAGGATTTTTTCCCAACTCTGTACTGGAGCAAGGCGGTTGACTGCAGGAAGAGGAGGCACTTGTACAACAGCAACGCGCTGAGTACAAGACTGTGCGCCATCTCCCGGTTGGGATACTAGCGTGTTGTGAGCGTTGCAACTTGCGTTCCAATCCTGGTGGAGCCGTTCTTGATTGAGCCCAAAGCATATCTCTGAGCCAGCTCGCCGACGTCCAGCCGCTGCATGAATGCTGCATGATTGGCGGTCCCTGCCAAGCGTTCCAGGGATGTGGCCAAAGTGCCGGGCGTGCAAGCGTGGACCTTTGCTGTTTGGGGTTCTTGACAATGTTTCACAGGTTTCACAGGTTTCGAATTAGGCGGGTGGCGTGAAGACTTGCGGGAGGGTGCCACCACGCCTGCCATGGAATAGATTTGCAGACGAAACGTGACGGCCATCCTTCAAAATCACCGAAGAGTGAGAACACCAATGCTGCTGAGACTGTCGTCAGCCGCAGGGTCAGTGCGGGATTCGCAGCCATCCATGCATCAGAGTCGGCGCGTAGGTGTCCCGGCGGGGATGGGTGGAGCAGTCCCAATACATTCGCTGCCAGTCAAGATTCATGCTGTACATTGCCCAACAATCTCCACGAGCACGTTGCTGGTCGCGCGGATCTGCAATGATAGGGTCATCAAGGATGGAGGGTGCGACTTTTGCAAAAGCCAGGGGTGGAGTCGTGATGGGCGCCCAGTCATGCAAACGTCGGTCCTGTGCGACCTCGCTACAAAACTTGAAAGGCCAAGGTTGAGGGAGAGAGGGCCCAATCGCGAACGAGGAGACCTGTGTCCTCCCCTTGCATGATTTTCTTGWTATCGAGTTTATCGTAAGTGGCTTGTGATTCCATCGCCATCCTACCTGAGCCTAATAATCATCCTCCACAATTCGCAGTCCGACTCCGAGCTTCGGATGAATCGGATCTGCGTTGATCAAAATATTTCGCTCAGGATGGATCATGCGTTCCCCTACGGTGCTTCCCGCCGAGAGTTTGCGGAATGTGCCAGGTGTTGTCAGTGAAGATATTTTTGCACTCTACTCATTCAGAGGGCCGGATTTGGCTGACAAGCGTGCTGCTTCAACTCGGTGGGGAAAACCTTGTTATGCCCTCCCCCTTGGTCTTGGTCGTACTGGAGCAATGCAGACATGATCGAAGGATCGAAATCCAAAGACCTCAATGCGTGGTCCTCGTGCGGCGTTATGACACACCGGGACCACAACGGGCGTTGAGAGACAGGATGGGTCAGTACGGCCAGGTCTCGCATGGAGATGGGCGTGTGGGAAAGGCCCACCGTATGCTTTACATTGAGCCCCATCATTATCGCCACGGTCAGGATGACATGTGATAATATATATCCCTGCAGATGAATCCGCTTCCCCTCCACAAAGAGTCCCCGCAACGACGAAGAAGTCTCAGTATGTCGAATCCAGCATGGGCCCACGTGAGGTACGGTACATTCCGCAGGACTTTGAGGGCACATGGAGCCCGCGTTCAAAGGCCACATTCCAATAGAGACGATGCTACTGTAATCTCCCATATTAGATGCTGTCAAAGTGGAGGCATGTGCTAATGTGGGGGAGGTCTGGCCGACAAGAGCTCGCTTCTGCTCTCAACAAAGCAGCGTTTCATCAATAATCTTGCCAGCACGGCGGACCAGCGCGATTTTTGCGTGCCCGCTTTTGCTTCGCTGCAGTCGGTGGTGGCCTCGAGCAGGTTTCATGCGTTCCATCCGCTTCATCTTCGAGGTTGATGACCACATCTCAAGAACAGTGACCCCGAAGGCTTCGCGGAGGTGGACTACGCTCAGTATCACGAGCTGGAAATCCCAGGCCTTGATGCGTTTCCATAAAGGAGAAGTCGGGAAAAGCTTTCAGGCATGATGCTCGGTGGCGCCGCCTGCCGAAGGTCAAATACGAGCGATCGTCTCTGTCCGGTGTACATCTGCAGTAGCACGAGTTGACTGAGGACTCTACCATCGACGTGTGGTTCCGGCTGGCAGTTCCATCTGCGAACATGTTGTGTCGGTGTGTGAGTGTGTAAGTGGATGTGTGCAAGTCTGATGTCCATTGAATGTTTCCATGGTACAGATGAAGACTCGGCCGCCAAGAAGTCGTGGAACTCTACTTGTTGCCGCCTGCTCCGAGGCTCCTTCCATTCTCCTTGATCGCGATATTTGCGACACTTCACCCGGCAGCATTGGGTCTCGCATTTCCATCATGCCATCCCTCGCGTCTGCGCTGGTTGCGTGTGTGGAAATCACATACGGCTGTGTCATCCTCACAGCCKCGTTGGTCTACTCCTGCTTTCAGAAAGAGTTCTGGTATGCGAGGACGGAAGAGGAGGAATCTGCTTTGCAAGAGGGTAACTAATTTCATCATATTGATCGGTCAGATCTTGCTCCTTCAACCTGCTGACGACATGCTCACAAAGCTTCCCGTGATCTCTGGGACTTGGCACACAAAGACGATGCCATTGCACACAACTTTCTCACCACGCGGAGTGGAACACAGATACACTTCCTAACACCTAGGGTCACCACGCAGGATCCAGATACGCTGATAGTCTTTCTCCATGGCTTCCCAGACTCAGCCTACTTGTTCTCCCACCAAATTCACTCTGCTTGGTCTWCCAAGGCCCAGCTAGTGGCACTGGACCTCCCAGGCTGTGGTGGGAGTGATAGCCTGCAATCTTACAGTGCGGAAAAGGTACTGAATGTCATTGTTGAAGCGATTGACCAGCTGAAAGCCCGTTTCTCGCATTCGAACCAGAGCAAGCCGAGGTGCATCTTGGTCGGCCATGACTGGGGCGGCGTCATTGGCTTTCGGCTAGCAGCAGAGACCACAGGCTTGTTAGACGAACTCGTAACGATCAACTCCATATATGTGAGAAAGTCTCTCGAAGGATCGATACCGCAAGCTGACACCTGGTAGCCACGATACGCGGCCGAGGTGCTCAAAGCCAACGTCTCCCGTGGAGGCGCTCTCATATCAAAGGGCAAGCTGCGAGAAGTATGACCTCCCAGATGAAGATTAAACGCGTCTAATGTAGCGTAGGCAGCTTCTGAGTTGCGACCGGTTCGCTCGCAGATCCTGAAGTCAGGTTAGTAACACTTAGCATCCGAGACGGAATCAAACTGACAATCTGCAGGCTACGTACGTTTGATACATGCCATCTATGCATCATTTCTCAGCTGACATTCCAAGACGTATATGTTGAACCTACCTGTGCCGCTCGCAAGGATCTCGCCTGGACTGTCACGATGCCTTGTCAAGTTGTCTCATAGCCTGGAATACAAGCAGTATGTCGTCTCGTTCTGTTCGACGGCGTCGAGAACTTGCTCGGACCCGTCAGTGATGATAACATATTGCATAGATCTCCAGAGAGTTCCCCAAAGGCACTCGCCCGCCGTCTCGCGATAGCTTACGGTCCGAGCTCATCGCAGTGTGCTCATGATAGCATCCCGAAGTATGGAACTTCGGTGCTTGCTCGTTCTCAAACCCACCCACCTGGAGATTGGGATCAACGAGTTCGATTGTATTCTGACGGGCTGTTGCGCGACAGTTGGACTCCATCCTTCCTGGCTTCGCCGAAACCTGCACTCAATGATGTCAAAGCAACCAAAACTCAGGCTCCGCAGGGTCCAGCTGTCGAGGATGACAACGACGATTGGCATTTTCATTGTCCAGTGAGCATCATATTTGGACTTCAGGACATTGCTCTCGATCCAAGTGTCGTTCTTGATGGAATTGAGCGCCATTTCATGTCTGAATCGACAGACTCCCTGGTATCGTCAGCCATTGCCCAGGAGAGGATCACTAGGCTCAGTGGTTGCGGCCATTGGTCAATATTGGAGGATGAGGGAATCAAAGCTCTGGACCGATTCCTGGCTCGTATCATCGATTGAACTCCCTCCGATTCTTCCAGTCGCCAGAGACAATGGCTGACCGGTATGCACGCCCTTGATCAGAGACAGAGGCGGGTTGCGGTGGTGCATCGCAGGGTGATCTACCTGGTTTCCCAGAGCCGCTTTGGGTAGCTACCTCCTAAAGGTGTCTTGGAGTATGCAATTTTACATGTTGATCTTGGTTGACACGATCCTCTCTCAACAGTTGCCTGACTTTCCAGTGGTGGCGTTGTTGCGAGAAGTTCCCATGTCGAGCCAGCATCATGCCCGGTCAGTCGAAGCAACCACGAATTAACAGCATTCCCGGAAAATTCAAGTCCTACCTGTGCTATGGCGGCTTTTGCATATCTGACAATTTCAGGACTGAGGTAAATCTTGTGAGGCAGAAAAGCTGTTCATAGCCGTTGCCGGGACTTTCGGTCTTAAGCAATGCTGCACCGGAACGATTGGCTTTTAAGCATGAATCCGGTTATCATCAATTAGCGACTCTCGAGCATCGGGAGAAGAAATGTAACAAGCTTACTGGCATGGCCTGTACAATTCGTTACATGTGGCGACCGAGCTTGGAGTCGGGGACCTCGGGGACCTCGGGCTTCAAACATGGGCATCGCCGAACAACAAGACACCGTCCATTCAGCAATCACCATCTTGTGCAACGCTTCTCCTCAAGCTCCACTTTCCTGAGCCGCCGCGACATTCACACGTACTCTTACCAGTCTACCGGAACAAGTCGTAAAAAAAGTAGCGTGGACTGGCCAATGACAAAAGAATTGTTCCGATCGGTTCACTCTTCCCACGAACTCCTTCCTCGCATAACATTACCGCTGGCCGGAATCCCTTACATACTAAGTACTGGAACTTGATCTACACTAGGATAAGGATCGTGCCAAGCAACATCCAACATGAGCTCCATGACGAGAGAGAATTCGAGCAAGCTAGTGAGGCCATCACCACTCGCTTGTACAGAGTGCCGTAAGAAGCATCTAAAATGCGACGCCGTAAGTAGACTGAAGGACGAAAGGCATGCAAGATCGAACTCCGACACGCATTGGTATACATCGGGGTTGTCTCAAAGTCGCTGACCCTTCTGCTCTTTTCTTTTAAAGCGCACACCAGTCTGCTCGAGATGTACGACAAGAGGCTTGGACTGCAACTACACGCCTTCCCGACGAGGGATTGGCGGGCGGACGAAGAGACAACATACATCCGTCACACCAGACACCTCCAACAGATCCCCACCCACACCGAACCGCTCCTCAAATGTCAGCAAAGGATCAAATGAATTCTCACAACTTGAATCATATCCAACGCAAGTTGTGTCGCCTGCTCGTACTTGGACCGATCTCAGCGATGCAAGTCAGCACTCCTCCGCAATCACTCCACCTGCTTCGTCGACTTCTCGATCATCTCTTCGTTCCGAGGACGAGCACCTGACCAACTGCTATTTCGTAAGCTTCCATCCGTGCCATCCGATACTTGTACCACGGACTCGCTACACGAACCAGCGATATCCCGAACATCTTCAAGCTGTGGTTAGATTCATTGGCAGCCACTATGCGCAAACAGGGTCAGAAGAGTCTGCCAGATCCGCAGCGGCAGCTTTCCTTGCTGAGCAGCACGAGCAAGCGGCCGAGACTGTGCAAGCGCTCCTCCTCTATGCCATCGCTCTTCACTCACGATACGAGCCGATGGAAGCAATGTCGGCGATAGCCAAAGCCACTGATCTTGCCATTGAACTTGGCATGCATCGGGCGGAGTATGCGACTACCTATGGCAAAGCCGATCCCGTCTTGGAAGAGAGTTTCCGCCGAACTTGGTGGGAGCTATACGTGACCGATGGGTACCTAGCTGCTCTTCATCGACATACCAACTTCAGGTGTAACATGGTCAATGCGAGTAAGTTGCACATTGTAATGCTGCGTCAGCATGCTGAAGATGCTGATTTGTCAATCAATTTAGCCACACTCTTACCATGTGAGGATAGTGCCTATGCGCAAGCAACGGTACCCTCTCCCTCCACGTCCTTGACACAGTTCGACGCGCGGCTATTTGCAGATGAGGATTACTGCTTTTCATCATTTTGCTACAGAATAGAAGCGATACGCATACTAAGCAGAGTAATCGCAGTATCTGGAGCAAACGAAGCACATGCGGACGGCATTCAGGCCATTGACAACGCCATTGCCAGTTTTAAGCATCACATTCCCAACGACAAGGCGGCCATTATTGATCGCAGCGGCGAATGCGATCAAATGATGTTCCAAGCGTTTGTTTTTATACAGCTGGCCTCCATTTTCCTCCATTTCCCCCGGTCAGAACTGCCAAGTAAGCGAGCCCAATTGGCCCCTGATATTTGACACTCATGCTGATGTCTATGCTTTAGTCACAATGCCATCGTCGGCAGAAATAACATGTGCACGCCAACACATGGAACAAGTACGTGTGGAGCATAGCGTTCGTCATACGTCCGAAAATGTCTAATCCAAAGCAGGTTTCTCCTGTATCCAACCAACACGCAGCCAAAAGCATGGCAGCTTCAAAAGACTTGGCAAACCTCGCATCGCTCCCCATTGAGAAGCATTCGCCATTCTTCATATGCGGGCTGGTCTTCTCTTGCGTAGTCCAGCTGTCGGCCTGTTCGGCGTATCCCCAAAGCAGCACGCAGCAAAATCGTGATCGCGTGGCGTTGATTTTGGGTGTGCTAAAATCTTTCGGCCGGACATGGACTATAGCTCAATATGTCTCGCAACAGCTCAAACGCGCTGCCAGCGAGGTCTTCACGCCGCGACCGGAGAACTCAACTACCGCCAGTGGCTCCTCCTATGACAGCGGGATTGACATGACTGGATTCCCCACCGACATGTCTTGGTTCGACTTCTTCAACCACCCCGGTGATGCAAGCGGTGCCGAGATGCAACACCAGCTGCTGGGCGGTGTACACGATATGACTGGGTTTCAATAAGAATTCATTCAATGGGGACTCTTGGGACCTGCATAGATCGCCCGCCAGCGTGTCCAAGAATCGCCCAGGACCTCGCAGGACTTGCCACTCCTCCACACTCCACCGAAAAGCGACACCGCATTAAATATGAGCCTGGCCTTGTAAATCCAAACAACGCCGTTTCGCCAGCTGGGTATTGAGCAAAAAACATTGCAATCGAACAGAAGAGAGACATGACTTGGCTGGTGAGCATCACTCTGCAGCGTAGCGAATCACCAATTTGCGACCGTGCTGCTTTTGAGACTGGCTGTCGTGAACTGTGAGTCGTGCTTTGCGCTCGGGAGGACTATCGTATGGCGTGTAGATGCGGTAATCCACGAGGCTTGTGATGGTCAGCAAGGGCCACGTCAAGAGGAGGTCGGTGTTGCTGCTTACTTTCCGAAGAGGTTGCCATGTCGGCCGCGGACCTCGACGCTCAGATCTGATGTGGCGGTGAAAAGATGTTTGCCAACGACAAACGCAAAAGAACCTCCGCTCAAGTGCAGAACTTGCGCCTTGAGATTTCCAATGGAGWATGTCTGTCCATCGGCAAAGGTACCTATACACGACGAGGTCAGGCACCGTCAGATGAGCGCCAAATCTAGCGCCATCTCCATGCACAAGGCCATCAAGATGTCATTGACGAGGCAAATCGGGAGCGCATCTGGAGCCTTGGCCCGTTGTACACATACCTCCAAAGTCGGTGTTCCACGCACTCCCATCGTCCATGTTGTACTTTCGCTTGAAGACCCGCTGCACAGCAGTCATGGTCCTCCTGGTTGTAATTACGCGAGGCGCCACGTTGGTCGTCGCTAGAAGCTGAGATCGCAAATACCAGGCTGAGGATGGATGCTTCCGGCTATCGTGCGTGTGGACGATCGAGTCGACGATGTATTGATTCTGCTCCACTACCGCCAGGACGCGGTCTGCTGCAATGGTGGAAATCGCCGTGTCAGATGGACTGTTGTCGAGGTGCGGGTCGATGATTATGGCCTTGCGGGTGATGGGATCGGCGACGACATATTGCCAGGACTCTGTCAGCTCCTCGAACAAGGTATGTACCAGCGGTGCGATGCTGTCCGAGCGAGGCGTAGGGCCTGGAGCCGGCATCATGAGGGTCGTCGTCGTCGACTCGTCGTCCGTTGTGTCAATCAAGTGTGAGAAAAGGCAAAAACGCTGGGATAATGCACAAACGATTGACGTTCTAGTCTTCTAGTCAATTTGCTCGTTGTTGCATCACGCGGCACCTACCCAGCCGTAACTTCGGGTGGAAGAACATAGCCAGTGGTCGCGAGCGCAAGTCGAAGCGCAAAGCAGCTAGCCAGGGTCAAGCTGAGATGCTCATTTTATCCATGTGTGAGTACTGCCCAGAACAAGGGCGTCTTTTCGTTCACTCGTTAAACACCAGGTGGCATGATGTCTTGGGTCGTTTGGTTCTTGGACGGCTTATTCAAGGATCATATCTGCTGTCTCTGAACTTAAAATGAAGTCCTGCAAGGAACGCCCCGCAAGAAATGAGGACGTTAGCGTCGACCGGGATCGCCACGAGGGTATAGTTCGCTTCCAAGAGCAGGCATTCGGTCTTGTAATGAGCGTCACAGCGGTGACGTGACGGTCGTGTCAGAGCGAGGTCACGCAAGACATGATTGCTACTTAGGTATCTTCCGTGCGTACGGACTGATTGTTCGCTGGCTGGTCTCAATATCTGAGCAAGACGACTTTCGGATGCTGGCGGACGCATCAACAGGTAAAGTAAGGTAAGCATGCGGTGTGTACTCCGTGTACATACAGCATCGGGTGCACTCGCTTGCAAGGGRTAGCTTGCCCTGTGTTGTTGACCTAGAAGGAAAGGGTCGATCTTATCTTGRTGCGGTCTTTCCCACAAGGTGTTCCCAGCGTTGTCATCGTGAGCTAAAATGATGACGACCCTCTATCAGATGTGATTCTCCTGGTATATAGGATGGGATGGAGCCGGGTGCCGATCACGTACAAGAACATCCTGACATCTTCAATCTATGGCTGTGGCTACAGCATCGGATACGTAGATCGATGATAAGACAGCTCGCAGAACACCGACCATCACCTCCCTACTCGTCAAGAGATGAGACTGCAGGTGCTGTAGGTCCCACCATCATAAGGTAGGATCTCTCAGGGCTGTAAGACTGCTTTCCTGTTTTCAACTGACTTGGACGAACAGTCCGTGCAAAAGAAGTCAAGGTCGTGTCTCGCTTTGCTGCATTAGCATCTTCGGCATTTGCGTCTCGACCAACCAGACTGCTGCACTCGACGTTTAGCGAAGCCCAAACAGCACACGGTGTTCTGTTTGGCTGTGCCTCTTGCTTCTTCCAGCATTCGACTTCTTGCAGTTTTTTCGGTCCCAAGATGAGATGAGCTCACCCTCCGCGGGCCAGTCGTGTTCTAGAGTATTGACAGTTGCTTCGTGCCGTCTGAAGAAGATTGGATCAGTGAAAGCTCGTTGAGTGCTGAGATCGGAACTGTCGCTTCAGATTTGCAACCAACGGAGGCAATGGAGCTGACATGTCTAACTGCTCTCTAATCATAGTAGTAAATTGCTGCATTCTATACCTTTCCATAATAGATCCGGTGACGTGACTGCTCAAAAACGACTCAAGTACCGCCATCACGATGGCGCAGAAGATTCGAACGCCCCACTATGCTGGCTTCTCAAACAGATAGTGACACACTCCCCACTCTTCACCTCCATCCCACGCAAACAGTTCTGCGCACGCCAGATAGAACACTTGCCAGCGGTAAAACCATTTCGCAGTGTCTGTCTTTCCATAAGTCTCCTCAAGATGCGGCCAGATCTCCTTCTTGCTCGCGTTCATCTTGGAGAGCCAGTCCTCGCAGGTCTTTGCGTAATGCTTCCCGTTTACCCACCACTGTCTCTCGAGCTTGAGATCACGTTGGAAGAATAGGAGCAGATCCGCTGATGGCATGGTACCGCCGGTGAAGAAATTGTCCGTCATCCAGCCGCTTTCAAAGTCGTAGGGAGAGGTTTTGTGGGCGAAGATGTGAACGAACAGCTTCCCGCTTGGTTTGAGAAGGGTCGAAACTTTCGAGATGAGGAGTTCATAGTTTTTCATGTGTTCGAAGAGTTCGATCGAGAGCACACGATCAAATTGGCCTTCCAGTGGTGTACCTTTGAAGTCGTACGTCGAAATATCGCCAGTGACGATCTCCAGGTTGTCAAACTTGTTCTTCTTTGCCATGGAGTCGATGTATTCTTTCTGCGTTCTCGAATTGGAGAAGCCAGTGATCTTGGAGTTGGGGAATATCTCGGCGAGGTAGAGTGAGAGCGATCCCCATCCACATCTGCGATACGTTAGTAGGTGTTGAGCTTCAAGATCTGAGCAATTCTTACCCAAGATCGAAGATCCTCATGCCATCCTTCAACTGTGCCTTCTCCACATAGCTCTCCAACATGGCAATCTCAGCCTGAGCCAGCGTTTCTGTTCCCTTCGGATACAGACAGCAGCTGTACTTCATCCTCGGACCTAGACAGGCAGAAAGAACTCCAGTGCCGACTTCATAATGTTGTTCGTTCGCCGCAGCGGTCTCAATTGCTATTGGCCGACTTCTGAGCAGTTCCACGTATTTCATCTTGGTTTCATAGCTCTCTGCCAAGCTGGTGGTCTTGATCAACTTGATTCTCTCACGAAGCTGGCCTCTGATCCCACGGCGAAGCACAAATTCTGGTAGGTAGCCCCCGTCTACGACGGTTTCCACCAATGAGTCTAGAGAGGTCGTTAGCGATTGCTGACACGTATGATTGGTGGGAACCCTACCGTAACTCATGTCTGCAAAGTCCGTCTTTGGTCGCGATCTACTGTGAGAGATGGCGTCTTGTTGTTGGACCTCTTTCGATGAGATCGTCGTGGTCCAATGCTGTCCTGATTGACACGACTGCAATTGCTCCGGCTAACGGAACGCGATGTGGTGACGTCATGATATGCACAATAGTCCGGTACTGCACGTGTGATATGGGTATTYACTCGGTATTTGCTCACAACATCAAACAGAGCGCCTTGTACTTGCAAACAGGACAGAGCATTATGTCATCTCCCAAATCTCCGGACATGATTGAGCAAATTTGTCGCTACCCCAACCCTAACCCTATCAATATATCTTGACGGGTGCAAGTATGTCGTTCTGCTTGACTCTTAACGAGAACAGAATTTTAATCCGGTAAGACCCTTAAATCTTGGAAGAGAACGAGTTCGACACTCTTGGTGGATACATATGTACATGGAAGTGAATGAGCAACGTTCGGCAGATTAAGGTACTATGTTTGTTGGGATCATCTCCAAGGCAAAAGAGACGGGCTGTAGTTCCAAATATTTCGAGTGTATACGAGCCTCCATTCTGCAAGCTAGCTGCATGGCTCACGTCCCATCGTTTGAAGAGCACGACAATATGTCCTCGGGGCAAGCACTCCGAACAATTCACATGCGAAAGTTCGAGCTGTTAGGTCTTTTGCCGATCCTCCGAAACCTACGTCAGAACCTCACAAAACCATGGCAGTCAAGACGCGTCCGGTGGAACATCCGGTTACCCCAGCTCCACAACGAAGCAGTTTTGCTTGAACACTGGTAGTATCACCCCTTCACCTCTCCTTGACCACCTCTCTCTCCCATCCTCCACCTTGCCGCTCAGGCTCTCACAACGTCTTCCCCAACTGCCTCCTCCGGAGAGCACAGCAGCAGCAGCAGCATCAGCAAGAGCAACCCGCCGCGAAAACTCGAGCTCCGATCCGCTCGCCATCCCAATCGTTCCGACATCMTTCGCGAAACCTCCCGCTCTCCCGCTCCGTCTCCAAAGATGGCGGACCAGGCGAAAAACGCGTCTTCGGGCGTACAAGAGCAGACCAAAAGCGTCACAAAAGGCACTCCTGCCGCCGGCGTGCAAGACAAGATCCAAAGCGGAACAAATGGGCTTCTCAGCTCCATCGGCTCGCTGGCATCAACAGTAGGGGCAAAAGGACAAGCACTCGTGGACTCCATCTTTCCTCCCGAGAAACGAGCCGCTTTCTTCGCAAAGCTGCAATCGTTTATGCTGTCGAATCCTAAGCTCTCTGTAGGGACTACCAAGTCATTGCATCTGAAATTCTCGCTGTACTGATCGCTGCCTTATCATAGGCATTCCTAGGAATGAACCTACTCCTAACAGGCGTACCACTCGGCCTCTTCATCCTCTTCAGCATCTCCGTCTTTATCTTCGCCCTCGTCGTAGCTCTCATAGTAGCATTGCTCGGCGCCGTGCTCTTTACAGTTTTCTGTGTTGGAGTGRCACTACTGATTGTCCTGCCCACGATAATGTTCACAACATTCGCCGCGACATTCCTCTTTCTATGGGGTTTGGGAGGATATCATCTCCTCCGCTGGGCGAATGGTGATAGCAACAGTGAAAGTGGCGGCCAAGCACCCGAAGGCTCTGCGATTGGCGACAAACTCAATTCACTTACTGGAGGTAGACTGAGCGGGTTTATGGAAGATGCCAGAGGACAGAATGCTAAAAAGGGGATTGAGGGATATGGAGATCGATTCAACAAACCTAACGAGGGARCAAAGAAACCGGAGGGGAATGGGGAGAAGAAGTCTACGGCGACAACGACTGGATCCAATGCGAAAGCGAATCAACAAGTGGGTGCTAGTACTGCTCGAGCGAATGACGCTGCGAAGGGTGCTGAGAGGACTGCTGCTAATGTTGGTGGGACAGTGAGCGATGCTTCAAAACCTGTAAGCTATGCGAAGGGAGGGTTGAGTGGAGCTTCTGGGTCGAAGCTGGGGTGATTGATGCGACTTCTGTGCATGATGTAGAGCGAGCATTGATATGGAGTTTTGACGGTGGAGATTAGGGCGGTAAAAGCAACAGGAGTGCCTTGGCCAATCAATATTGCAGCGAGGATAATGTTTCGGTAGATATCGTCGGGAGGAATCATAATGGTCTGCACATCACCAATCGAGCTGTACATTACATTACACGACGATCGATTGGTGAGCGAGGGCGGTACACATCTAGGATATCAAGAACACATGCGTGGAAGATGAACGAAGGAAAAGTCAAGTGTGTGGTTATTCTGCGGAAGAGAACCCAAAACGGGTTCCCACATCGCAGTAAAGATCGTGTTGTTTTTAGCGGGCGCACCACGTGGAGAAATCAGACTACTAGATCGTCGTGAAAGTGAGCTTCAATTCACATCCGCGACGTCAAAACACCCTTCTTTCAAGCTGCAGCGGCAACGGCCTGACGAGTCTGGCGAGCCTCGCTTTCGAGGACACGCTCAAGTACGCCATGAGCACTCGCGCCGGAGCTGAGCTCCTGAGCGACCTCTTCCAAGCCCAGCTGAGAGTCATTCCAAAGAGGCTTCACAGCTGTTGGATTCTGCTCGCCGACGCCAATGAAGCCGCCCTCCTTCGCCCAGTCAGAAGTGCGCTTAATGCCCAGCTCGGTCCAGACGCTATCCAAAGCTTGGACGAGATGAGCACGGAATTCCTTTACGTGACCAGGAGTCGGGGTGATGCGGAGACGCTCCTGTCCGACAGGGACGGTAGGGTAGTTGATGGCCTGCACATAGATCTGATGCTTCTCGAGAAGCAGGTCAGAAGCCTTCTTCGCGACCTCGGCGTTTCCGACGAGGACAGGAATGATGTGAGACGGGTTGGGCATCACAGGAATGTCGCGCTCCTCCAAAGACGCCTTTACGGCACGAGTGTGGAGCTGCTGCAGGCGACGGTCTCCCTGGTACGCCATCTGATACTCGATAGCAGTCTGGGCGCCTGCCATGGTGGCTGGTGGGAGAGAAGTCGTGAAGATGAACCCGGGAGCGAGTGAACGAATGGTATCAACCATCTTCGTGGAGCCAGCAATGTAGCCTCCAACACACCCATAAGCCTTGCCGAGAGTTCCAGTGATGATGTCAATGCGGTCCTGAACGGTTCCGCGGGTGTTTCCTCCCTTTGCGTATACGTCGTAGTCRAGATGCTCAGCAACACCGCCACCGTTTGGCCCGTACATGCCTACAGCATGGACTTCATCCAAAAAGGTAAGGGCGCCGTACTTCTCAGCCAAGTCACAAATCTCCTCAATCGGTCCAATACTGCCACACATGCTGTAAACACTCTCAAAAGCGATGATCTTTGGGACATCTGGGGGAAGAGCGGCAAGCTTGTTCTCCAAATCGACAACGTCATTGTGTTTGAACACGACCTTCTTAGCACCCGAGTGGCGGATGCCTTGGATCATCGATGCGTGGTTCGAGCTGTCACTAAGAATGACACAATCAGGCAGCTTGCTTCCCAGAGTCGCCAGCGTAGCGTCGTTCGCAACGTAGCAAGAAGAGAAGACCAGCGCGGCTTCCTTTGCATGAAGCTTTGCGCAAGCGGCCTCCAATCCAACAGCGTGCTGGTTGTGTCCTGAAATGTTTCGTGTTCCACCGGCTCCGGAACCATACATGTCCAGCGTCTCGTGCATTTTCTTCAACACCTGTGGGTTCCGACCCATTCCGAGATAATCATTGGAGCACCACACATCCACCTTTTCATCCCGTCCAGACATGTGTGCACGAGGAAATTCCTGAGCCAGTCGGTTGATATTGTTGAAGTAGCGGTACGATTTGTCCTTGTGCTTCTTGTCCAGCTCGTTTCCGTAGAATTCCTCATAATCGAATCGAGCCGCCTTTGGTGGCGGTGGAACACCAGTGAGAGCGTGACCGGTCGCGGCTGAAGCACTCGCAGCATTGCCAGAAGGACGGGAGAACGGAGCGTGCTGCTGACGGCGTTCTGCAGGTCTCTCCACGGCTTGGGCTTCCTTGGAGCTGCTGGTGTGCAATTTGGCGCGAGGGACTTTGGCGTGGTAGGCACGCGAGCCTCCAAAAACGCCGTTCAAAGCGGCATTGCCACTGCGAGCACCCTGGACGGACAAAGCCTTGCCCATGACGGGGCAGCGACGAGCGGTGATTTGTAGGTTGGACATGGCGCTGCCACCTGCACTGACGCTCTGCTGCATGCTCGTGCTGGTGGAGAGCGAGCGCAGCGTGGCGGGCGAAGTCTTGTGGAGGTAAGGGCACATGTTGCGTGCCTTTCCTAGTAGGGCCTCCATGGTGGTAATCGGTCTTGGTAGGTTGTAGTCAGTGGTATCGGTGGGTCGATAGTAGAGAGAGGGAGAGGGGTGCAGGAGGAGGTGGAATGGAGAGAGAGGAAGGGAAGAGACATCAGACAACTACAACAAAATAAGCTGCCGGCTATGGAACAAGCCGGCGACGCCTCTGACTGTGTAGAGCCGGTCTGGCCTGCAAATTCAATACTGCCGATCTGGGGAAACTGTGTGTCGTGAGCGCCTTCGTCAGGTGCGATTGGACGGCCCTTTTGCGTGGCAGAACAGCGATCATCCAAAGCATCATCGTTTAGTCTATACAATTTGCWATGGATTACCGCCTTTTCCAGCATATGCATGCATGTTGATTGGCTTGATCCTGGCGATCCAACCTTGATCCGACCTCGCATGCAAGGTGGCGTGTCGGAAAGCCGAGGTGGTCGATGCTTTGGGCCTCTGCCCTTTGTCACCCACGGCTAAGAAGAACTAATGGCAGCAACGAACACCCCGCATTCGCTACTCGAGACCCCTTACCTTACTATCGATGGACGAGCGGGAGGCGTGAGAGGAGGTGCCAACTGTCGGAGAGCCGCTGCAGTCCTCGCTCCATTCATCGGCGAATTTCAAGCCTCATCTTCGAAAACGTGACATCTGTCCCTGCGAAGTATTTGGCATCAGTCCGAACTCCCCTTGTTCGGAACCTCCCCGGCGCATCAGGGCAAGACAGGGATCTGCTCGTAGTGCTGACCTTGGACCCTTCTGCCCAATTTTTATACTGCGGTGCAGAGCCGCAGAGAAGACGTGCAAAGGCTGTTTGGTGGCTTCCCGCCCGTTCTGATATTGCTGATGTATCTTCAGGCTGAATGTATTGCTTGGTGCATCTCCAGACAAGCATTTACAGCGTCTTGCAGCGTGCATGCTGGTCAAATTGGCAATGCCGTAAAGCACTCAGCCCTAGCGGTTTCTGGAAGCGAGTGAGTGACTGCGTGCGCCTCCCGTCATGTTGAGACTGGAATAGTTCAGCACACTACTCAACAGAGGAAGTACGCTGGCCTCAGAACCAGTACCGAACTTCACAATGCCTTCTGCGTGGCGTTTTACCGGAATTGGCGCTTTGGATGAACCATGCGAAGCTGTGGCTGCAAGTCTTCCCTCCGTGGCTGAACCCATCTTGGTGCGAAGCATTCTTGGTTCGCTCCCTCGAAACGCGAGCGTGCATGCTCCACTTCCACTGAAACCTTCCATTTCTCGCTTCAAAGATCTCGTCCAGCTTCCTAACATCCTAATTGAGATTCAACTTCTAAGAGGCGTGAATTTGGATGACATGGGGACTGGGTCATAGGATCATTCGGGATGCAGAAAAGTGACCGGCACTTATTGGTGCAGTCGACGATGGAATGGGCATATAACTTCCTTCCATTCTATTGCGGATATCTAGACTTTATATTACCTAGGTTATGACAATTCACCATCACATAACCTGCTCCAATGGGATCGCCTCAAGCCTATCCCCTTTCTGCTCATTGTAACATGCATAGAACCCCAAGAAATCCTCTATAGTATCAAACAGCTCACTTTCGTAATCAATCTCCTCGCGTATCCCATACCTCCACCCCCAAAGACTCCCTTCGTCGCCTATTCGACGACAATACAAAATCCAAGGTCCATCCCACCCTCGTGGTCCATCGCCCGGCTTAACGCCAACTGCAATCTGCCAGTCCTCCCAAACCATGTCAAGTGCATGGAACGCCTCTGCTAAGACATCTCGACCGCGTGCGGGCACGACGACTCTATTCCTGGTTCCGTAGAATTCGAGGTCGTTGATCGCTTCTTCCGGATCCACGATGAAAGAGAACTGACTTGTTTCTCGATAGTGTGGTAGACCGGGACCGCATACTCCGCGAACTAATGTCGCCAGATATTGGAAGTCAGCCGGTAGACATAGAGGCCGAAAATGCTCTGCGACCGCATTGTGTGGATCTTGATCATCTGGTTGAACATGGAGACTTGCGATTGCAGTATGCACTGCATCAAACCATGCCTCTCGCTTCTGTACATCAACAGCGCCGTGATCGATACCATCAAGAGAGCACCTCTGAAAGCACCGTTCGTATCAGACTGCTTGTTGAGGAGTAGTAGCCATCGTCATACCTTGATCGTGTTAGGGAGTACACTGTCGTCGAGACTAGACGCCGGCGTTGCAACGCCCGCGTCTGGGCTGATAAGACCATATTGTTCGCTAAAAAGCCTCAGACACGCATCTCGAATCTCCTCGTCGGGGAGATCGTCTTTGCGCAAGCCTTCAGCTTCACCTTCAGCGGCTACTACCAGATATCGAAGAGCTTCGAGATTCTGCTCCAGAACGACGTCTCTGTAGTTTTGCGATGCACTTGCGATGCTCTCTCGCCGTTGGTCATCCAGCATCTCGGAGGTTTGGGGGACCTCCGCGGGCCTCTTCCATTCGCCCACGAATCGTGTTGAAAAGACAGTGTTGATGAAGATGAAGTGTACCTTACGAAGCTTTCGGCGGAGCGCGAGCCAAGCCTGTTGCTGAGGGGATCCAGGGAAATGCGGATCCCACCTCTTACCTCGGTGGTCTGTATATAGCCTACAAGAATCCTACCTACACTATTAGCAGCGAGCGAGAGCCGTTGCGACACATCGTTCTGCAGACGCAATATGGAAACAAGTCAAACACCAACCGCCTGCTCACGATTGAGCTGGGCAATAGCCTCAAGCAAGCATAGAGCAGCAGTCTCAACAACTGAACCGAAATCAATTTGCTTGTCGGCAGGCGTAAAGTGCCCCTTCCAATCGCCGGGGCCAGTTAGTATGCTTTCACGCCAGCGTTCCCACACCGGCCATTGGCTTGTACCCTTCTCTTGAAACAGGGCTCGCGTCAAGTCCACCTCAACAAAGTCGGGAAGGAAGTCTCTGGAAAGCTGCCCGAAGTCTTGACTCCTGGTTTCTTTTGCTCCAGCTCTTGTGTTCCTTCAGCCGCTGTTGATACGCCTTCCATCCCGCTCCAATGGCTGCTTGACCAGGCGATGGCGTGGCAGCGTCTTCCAGGCACCGGACGTGCGTTGGAAGACTTCGGGCTATCGGAGGAAATCTGTCGATCAGTCTCTGACCTCGCCGGGAAACTCGTCCGGTCTTTGTTCTACTCAGGCGTGGAATTCGAGGCGGAAGTCGACGAAATTCAGGTACTGCTTCTTCTGGTAAGATGGCAGTGCATCGTTGAAGTAGGTGAGCCTTTTGACGTGTTTGGACAGCCGCGAATCGGCGATGCTTTCCAATGCTAGCAGACTGTCATCGAACATGGCCGTGTAATGATGTTCGGAGACGCGTGGTGATGCGAGGGATTCGAACGCTCTCGACATTTGACGGAGCGCTTTGATTGATGCATAATCACAAATTGGGCAATGTTGTCCAGCAGTTCGTGTCAAGACCGAGATCGGMAACGCGACGCGATGACGCGTGACAGCGCACAGACTGCCAAGAGTACTCTATTCCTCTTCTAGACAAGTTCCTGGACCACGTGAAAGTGACTGGACCTGCTTCTAATTGGCCACCGTAGCGAAATGGTCTGTGCTCCTGCGACTACGCTTCGCTCTCGGACATCAGCATGAAGCCTCCAGGGAGCACCACGACTGCTGTAATGCCAAGCTCGATTCGTTCCAATGGTGACTCTCACAGGAATGTGACGAAGAGTAGCTGACCAGTCCGTAAACATCGCACGCTGGAGCACGAGCATCTTCTCTGAAATCTCAGAATTTGACCAAAAACCACCATGACATCCAAGACAGCATCCGTGCTTCCATAAGCAGAGAATTAGAAGCGGAGCGCACAGCTAAAGTAGGTGACTGCGGCTTCCTTTGCTATCACCGACATCCAGGACATCGAGATAGTCCACCAAGCCTGCCTCTCCCTCATCGGTAATCGTCTATCCTATGACAACTCCACTGCGCCCTACATCAGTGTTCAAGGATCGGATACATTGAAAATTGAGTCCTCACCTAACTGGCCTGCGGTGAAGGGGGTATGTGCTATCAGTGCGCTCTGGAACGAACGATCTTCATTGWGATAGACTCCATCGTCATTGGCTGCTATCAATCCCAATAAGTGTATAAAAATGAATCCTCGCTATGCACACAAATCGCTTGTCATAATCTTCTCCAAATCACCTTGTTTCCACCTCAAGATGACTGATCTACTCGTACGACCAAGCAGTCTTGACGTCGCTATCGACATACTGGTTCTTCCAGACGAAAGAAACGCAGTCCACATCATCGCTGCCAGGTACAAAGCGAGAAGCAGCCCAAATGTCATATGCAAGGAATCCATCATCCTGCTTCCTAGGGCAAGCGAACCAGTCCTGCTTCTCGAATTGCAACTTTGCGTCGTACGCGATGGCGAAGCCGTTGTAGAGAGCTGGTCCAGAGGTCTTGACTGAGTGTGCAGGAGTGAACAAAAGCTGACCAGCTTGTTGTCCCTCGTCTCCGGCCGCGACGTAGACCTGCTGGCCACCAGGCACGGTAGTATCAAGGTTGACAACTCCCTTGCCATTCAAGTAGCTGAAGATGGTGGAGTCGTTGTTGGTCTGGCTGCAGTCGACAACGGAGTCTTCCGGACAGTAGGTTTTGCTGGGCTTTCCGAGGACGAATTCGAGGCCATTGGCTGCGACGAAGCCCAGCTTGGTGCCGTCATCGGCCAAGGGAAGTCCTCCAAATCTCAGAGGAAAGCTGGTTCCGGCTTGAGGAACAGGCACGGCGGCGRCCAGGGCCGTGGTAGCGAAGGCGAGGACGGAAGCGGTCTTCATTGTTGCGGGATTGTTTTGAGAGGTTGTTTAGATAGTAAGAGATATTGATGATGGTGTTGGTGGTGGAGATGACTTGAATCGAAGGATTCGACGAACCTCTTATATGATAGGACACGCCAGGCAAAATAGGTGAAGTCTGCCACAACTTGTAATTAAGTGTTGCCCTAAGGCAAGCTAGCAAGCATTATCCCTACCCTACCACCACACGGATCGCCGACTCGTATGATCCCAGCAAGCTCGTGAGGTGTCAAGTCAAAGAAAGCGTGGCAACCACAGTAAAACGAGTCAAGGTTCGCATTGTCGGGCCCGGTATGGAGCATGCCAAGTAAAAGATACGAGATCGGTAAGACGGGACTGGCAGCCTGTAGCACAGCAGCATGATGTCAACTCCACTACGCCATCGATCGCAGCACCTTTATGTCATCGTTGCATTGGTTTCGGCTGTAAGCTTAGCTCTAAGTCGAGACACAGAAATACGGGAGGATCTGCGGCAACCCAAAATAGCACAGAGACTCTCGCGCATTCGGGAATATCCACTCACAAGGTCATTGCAAATTCTGAGATCGTAGGCTGGTAAGGTTAGTCAAGAGATCGACGGGTCGATGYATTTCGGATCTTGCAGTGTGAGACGTGAACAAGTGCATTCGTCATCCGAATTCTCCTACGGATCCACGGACACACCTAGCAGACTTAAGCAGCTTGCTCGCCTACACCACGACCTCTACCCCCACGACCCCCGCGTCCACGTCCACGTCCACCGCGTCCACCACGGTCATTGTTGATCGCAGCCGGCGGAGGAACGCTGCTGTAGTTCCGCGCAACAAAGTCCCTGTTGTTCCTCACAACACCTTCCGTAGGATCGGTGTTGTCGACGATGGTATAACCACCTCTGTTCCCACCACGACCGCCACGAGGCGCGAAGCCTTGAGATGTGCCGTTCGTGTTTCCCCCTCTACCACCACGAATGGGAATGTTCGTATGTGGCATGCCTGGCCCTCCTCCGCGACCGCGAGAGAACCCGCCATTCTGCGGACCATGTCCGTTGACGGCACCACGCCAACCACTACGAAGCGCAGGAGGTGCATTGCCCTGCATGAGCTGAGGACCACCTGGCATGCCGTAGCTTGAAGCCCGCGCAGCTTGATTGCCTTGCAGCGGCTGGAAGGATTGCTTGGGCGCGCGTGCCTTTTGAGCTTCTGAAGTGGCGGCGACCTGCTTGTCGGTGATGTTGAGCACAGAGTTGGATGGTACCGTGCTGCCACGGAACGGCGAGCAACGATCATTGAGGGATGTTCCACTCATGAACGTATTGTCGAAGACAACATCCAGCAGAGTGTTCCTAGTAGTCCGCGTCATGCCCACAACAGTTCCCCTCATGGCGACGGGCACGCGGCCAGTGTCAAGGACGTATACAACTCTGTCTCCAAGACGGAAGTTCTGGTTTTGAGTGCGCTGCTCAGCATCGGCGGGCTTCAGCAGAGCGACGCGGGGGACTTTGCCGAGCTTTCTGCCTTGTGTGGGCTGGGCAGATGCTGTGTTCGCATCGGCTGCCTGCTCAATAGCCATGACAGTGTCGCCATCAAGCTGCTCCGCCTCGAGCGGCACGCGCTCAAATGACTTTGTCTCTACACTCTTCAGCCACTGCCCAATCTCCTTCATCTTGAGCTTGGCCTCTTGTGGATCAGGGTAGAACGCGGTGTCTTCCCAGCCGTCTCCAGTGGGGTTGGCGGAGATGCGAGCAATGAATTCGGGGAATTTGATCATGTACTGCTGCAGTAGATCAACTGCCTTGGGGGAGAACTCCCAGCCGTTGGCGCTCTTCCGGCTGTATCCGAGCACCTTCAGTTTCTTGCCTTCAAACTTGATGTTGAGGCCGAGATTGAGTCGAAGGCCGGAAGAATTGACGTTGAACGAGGATGTCAACTTCGACAAGACTAGCGGATGAAGATGGAGCTGCTTGGCAATGGCATAAGACGGAGTGTATGGATTTCTCCGCTCCGCCTGCTGCGCGATGGCAAGGCCAAACTCTGGCTCGCGTGTCGCAAGTTGAGATACCCAAATCTCTGCCTTGTCAACACCACCATCGGATCCGTGTCCAGTCACCTCCAATGGGCGGCCGTACGCCATGTCGCCCAGGAAGAATGCTCGTGTGCCCACGGGAAACTCTTCCTGGATCGACACGGCTGCGCTCTCCAAGAAACGCTGATCTTCGCTAATAACGTTGTCGACGACGGTCTGTGTAGCAAAATCGGGCTCAATGCCTTGCATGGGAGCATATTCCTTTACGGTTGCTCCTTGCTCGGTCTTGCGCAGACCCACCAACGGATCAATTTGCACAAGACTCTCAACGCTGCCGATGATCATTCCCAAACGCTTGCTGTAATGAGAATCGATTCGGTTCGCCTTCTTCTTCCAGTCTTCAATGCCTCGACCCTCGTGAGGAGCTTGTATAATGTTCTGCTCGGTGGCCGGGAGCTCTGGATCGGCGAGATAGTAGACAAACATCTCGTCACWCACACTAGAGACCTTGCCTTCTTGCAAGAAGGGATAGCCAACGTGTACAGCCTTTCCAAGCTTCGCCTTGGCATGCGCAATCGTATTCTTCTCTTCCCCCTCACTGAGAGTGATGATTGCGCTCTCGTTCCTGCTCTCTTGCTGAAAGACACTGACGCCGTGGAAGCCGAGTTGTCCCGTGTGTGGCAGCGTCCGCAGACTAGGGAATCCAGCCAATGCAGAAGCACCAAGCTTCACCCCATCCATCAAACCGACGAAGACTTCCAAGCCATCCATGACTGGAAGCTCAAAAATGTTTTCCACAACACGACAATGTTCCAAATCTGGGAACACGCCTGGAAGACTGCTTGGATAGGTGTAGTCGACGTCTGGTGCGTACGTGAACTTCAAGCTCACGCCGAAGTCGTTGCGCCCAGCTTCTGCTGGTGTCAACAATGGGTCTTTCGTCGCCATTGCCGATAGCAAGCGCTTCTCATCGATGAAGGGAATCTTGACAACGGCTTCCCAGTCCATCTTTTTGCCATTCATATCCAGCTCGAATTCCCGAGGATAAAAGTCGATGATCGGACTGTTGGGGTTGGTCATGAGGTCGTGATAGACCTGCGGCACGATCGACTTGCTTCGATCTGGCAAGACGCCCATCAGCTGCTGATACGGCCGGAATGGCTGACCGAGCTGAAAGTTCATGTCTGCGCCAAGACCTCWGCGAACATCGCTGATCATGGGCGAGTAATGAAACTGGTAGTACCACGGCCACGAGGCAACGCCACGGTAGTAGTAGTACAGAACCCACTGCAGTCCCTGCACGTAGTTCTCGGTGAGCTTCCTCAGCTCCTCCTCGTTCTCCAGTCCCCAGTCGAACTTGGACGTGTAGTACTTGTTCTTCCACTCGACGAACTTCTTGTCGTACTTCTCCTTGGCTTTCTCCTGCGCTTCGGATGCGGATACATCCTCAATCTTCGCACGATCATACTGCTTGAMCACTCTCAGTAGAGCGTTTTGAGACTCCTCGTCTTCATCCTCTTCATCATCGTCCATTTCTGGACGAGGTGGGAAGCTCAACTGAAGATGGCGATTTCCATCATCGTCGACAACACTCTTGCTTTGCAGATGCAGGCTGCGAGCCAAGTCCTCAATGAATGATCGATCAGCCGCCTTGAGACTGGCCGGCATATCCAGCACTTGGTCATCGCCAGATCCTGAACGGCCGTTCACGTACTTCTTTACCTTCTGGTAAAGCTCCTTCTGACCTGTCGTAATTGTTGGGATGCCCTTCTTCTTGGTCTTCACCATGACATCCTCACGTTGGATACTCTTATCCTTCAGCCAGCTGGCGTCTTGGTTCTCATGCTCGAAATGACGGTACTCGACGTCGCTCAACTCGACCAGCAGCATTTCCAGTCGTCTCAAGTCGATGACACCACCATCATTGATGTATCCTCCCGCCTTGGGGATGACCTTTTTGTAGACGTTAAACATCAGCGCCAGCGCTCCTTCGTTGATGTGCAAATGTGRTAAGTTGGGAAGGAAATCGTTGCCCACGAAAAATGCCATGAGAATGAAATCGTCAATGATGCGCTCCATGTCGAAAGTAACGCCCGCTGAAACGGTGGGATCCTTCAGCTCCTGGAATTCCACCTCCAGGTACTCGCGGACAATACACAAGTGCATGAGAAAGAAGTTCTGGTGTTCGAGCTCCTGGCTCTTGGCCTTCTGGCGGCCGAAAGTGACCTCCTCGCGTAACAAACAGAAGTGTGGGTCATGCGACAACAGGCCCAGCATGATGAGATCGGCATCGAGTCCGTACAAGCAATGTCGCACATTTGGGTCGTAGCCAGGCTGACTCTTGGCCTGGCGGATGTATTCCATAATCTTGTGTTCTCCCTCTCCTGGCACCTCGTGACCAGAAAGGACGATTTCACATCCCTGCCAGTCCGAATCCTCGGTGACCTTTTTCGCGATGAAGTACTTTAGCTGCTGCGTGAGACGCGCCATGAACTCGGTGCCCGGAGTGATACAGTTCGAGTCGAAGGGAGGCTCTTTGGGCAGCTCAAGGCCTTCAGCCAACGCCTTGTTGCGCGCATTCTCGGCGTCCAGAGCCGTGCGGAAACGACGGGAACGCTGCTGGTTCATCTTGGCTCTCGGAGCCACGCCATCAATGGCCATGAAGAACATCTTCTGGGGTTTGATTTTGCCAAATAAATGCTCAATGTAGTTGAATATCTTGATGAACATTTCATCTTCGGATAGTCGAGCTTTGGTTGCGGAGGCATCGTTGTCGTKGGTGCAATTGTGAATGATGCCGTTCATGTCCAAGTAGAGGTTGTCGAACTCGGGGATGCGGTTCTCGGCGATGAGCTGGGAGATGGCGGGATAGCGCTCGGAGAGCCATCGAAAGAACTTTGGGACACCTGATGAGTGTTAGAAGGTTTCTGCATGTGTTAGTGAGGCAAGTGAAGGCGCACCCATGGTAGTGGCGGTTGCGGTGTTGCAGTGAGACTGGGGATGATGTGGATTGCGCGCGGCGCGCTGGCGTGGAGAGGATGTAGGAGGGGGTGAGAGGACAAGAGGTGAAGAGAAGGGTGGTGGCGGCTGTCAACGACACGGAGTCTTCGAAGAAAGAAACGTCAACAGTGTCATTGATGCGGCGGAGAGGTGTAGCGATCCATCCGCGCTAGTGAGTCAGCCATGGATAGCTGGGAGCTTCACGAATTGTTCGCGAACGCGCTTCCTCCACATCACATCACGACCTCACTTGAAGTCACGCTCAGCAACCACCGCAAATATGGCGGACGGTGAGTATCTTCCGTTAGCACTCAGTGGCCTCTTGCCGCTTGAAAGCCCGTTTGCAGTTCGAGAACTGTTCTGACCTTTGATGAGCAGAAATGACCAACGACACGGCGGAGGAAGTACAGAACAAACTGATCAACGAGGAGTACAAGATCTGGAAGAAGAATTGCGTGTTTCTGTACGACATCATGTACAGCAGGGCTCTTGACTGGCCCACCCTCACCACACAATGGCTGCCCGACGTGAAGGAGGTTCCTGGAAAGTCTAGCCGTTCGCATCGTCTCATAATCGGCACCCACACCTCCCAGCAGCAAGCCGAATACCTGCAAATCGCCCACATCAACCTTCCGAATCCCCCGCCGATGACCGTAGCAGAATACAACGCTCCGACGACTGATTTGGGAGGACATGGTGCAGCGAAGGAACCCATCACCTTCTCAATCGTGCAGAAGATCACTCACCCTGGTGAAGTCAACAAAGCCCGATACCAACCACAGAACCCAAATTTGATCGCGACGTGGGCGCCAGATCACAAGGTCTACCTGTGGGATCGCACCAAGCACCCGTCTATTCCGGTTGGTGGGGTCAAGCCGCAAGCAACGTTAGAGGGTCACACAAAAGAAGGATTCGCATTGGAATGGAATCCCTTCGTCGAAGGCCAGCTGCTATCTGGTGGAGAAGATACGACCGTCTGTCTGTGGGAGCTGTCGCGCGACTTCAAAATTGAGAATCCCACAATCTCACCCGCACGAAGGTTCACACACCATTCGGCATGCGTGAACGATGTGCAGTACCACCCAATGCACGGCGCCAACCYTTTCGGCACCGTTTCTGATGASCTCAACATATGCATCATGGACATCCGCAGACCATCCGAGAGCAAACCAGCTATCGTATTCGAGAAGGCACACTCAGACGCCATCAATTCGCTTTCCTTCCACCCGAAGCACGACAAGCTATTCGCTACGGGGTCTGCGGATAAGACGGTTGGTATTTTCGACCTGCGCTTTGCAGACAAAGGCAAGATCCACAACCTGGAAGGCCACAAGGACGTGATCAACAAGGTGGACTGGCACCCTCATGACTCGGGCATCATTGCCTCATCGTCCAACGACCGCCGTATCATCTTCTGGGACCTGTCTCGCGCTGGTGCAGAGCAGACCCCTGAAGACGCCGAGGATGGCCCTCCGGAGATGCTCTTCATGCACGGCGGTCACATCAACCACATCAGCGACTTCTCATGGAACAAGAACGACCCGTGGGTCATGTGCTCGACCGGCGAGGACAATCTCATCCAGTGCTGGCGCGCGAGTAGGCATCTCGTAGAGGTAATGCCTCCAGGTGTGAAGCGGAAGGAGGTGGATGCGTAAGCAGAAATCAAAAAGGAGTTGATGATTGATTGAAACAGCAAGGCGTTCGGAGCCGGTTACGCATAACGAGGTTATAGAAAGGCCGGGCGCTCCTCGCCACACACGGTACTTAGTTTCAATGGAAGGGCTGTTTTCGGTATGAGATGTATCTGTGCCAAGGAGAGCGTTGCTTGCGATGTCCGGTTGCTTTCCACTTCTGCGGTTCCGCCTCGTACCGATGCGCACCACCTCCTCGACACCATCTAAATCGGATGTCCCCCGCGAAATCCCTTCAGACCATTTCAAACTTGTCAACATTTTCATACAGAAGTATCACCTCCAACTCCTGGCCTTGAAAATTACTTTGCAACTGAGTATGGCTTCACCGGAAGCTGCGCGTCGAGTGCATACATTCCGCCGTCGCAACGCAAGCGTAAATACGATGAGATGGTAGATGAATCGGCATTACAGGAGTAAGTGGCATTCGGAGTTCCAACGGACTCCCGGGATGATTTTCAGCGCTCGAAGCATCGCTGGTCTTCTGATGCCTACAGATATACCGGCCGGTAGGGTCGCTCATGAGGTTGCAGGGAGCATCGGCCAGCAGATCGTACTGACATTTCTTAGTTTCTTACACGACGGGCTGGTTCAAATTAATCTCGAAGGGGAGAAGAAGCCCTTCTTAGTCTCGAAAGCCCTTTTGTGCCGGACCTTATCGTCGTACTTCATGAAAGCATTGGAGGGCGGCTCTATGGAGGCAAGAAACGACGTCTGTACCTCCCGGGCTGTGATGTAGAGACTTTCAGACTCTTCATGCACTATGCCACCGAAGAAACAATTCCCGAACTCATTATGACCATTCATGACGACCGCTCGACAGCCGCTGTGAGTCGGGGGCTGATATCCCAAAGACGAATTCGGTTGATCAAGTTATGGGAATTCGCGGGCTGCCTACCTAGTAGGTAAGGCCAAGCACGGGTCACGCTTCTCCTGGGAATCATCGACTCTCACATGCATTATACGCATATAGGAGACGATGTGATTTTCGAGAACGACGTCTAAGAGACTCGTTGACTTCATCAGGTATCCCGAACCTCCGGAATTTGGCAATGAGACGCTCGATCACTTCCTTGGTCTCGCAGCGTATGGGCTCCTGGGAGATCGCAATAGCATACGAGTATGCTCCACCAGACTCTGTCTTACTGAAGGTCTTTGTGGACAGTATCTGTAGGGATACCCTCTGCAACCTGGATAGGAATGAGAGAAGAATGGAATCCTCGAGATGCTCTATAGCAATCTCGCTACCATCGAGGGCTTCTTCTTCGACTTCCACTTGAAGATAAAAGCATGTCATACTAGCCACGGTAATCAACATGGCCTCGATTGCTTTCCGACAGCGTCCGACGATAGCGTACGGGCGTATATGGTGACGGAGACGCTTCCCACACACAAGAAGGCCAAGCATTGTATCTGTCAGGCAGCGCATGATTGTTCATGCTAGAACGCTTCCGCAGGCTCCAAATACAGCGGCTTCGTTCACAACCAATCCTCTGTATGCCACTAAGGTAGCTCCAAACACGGAAAACGCATACAGTGGGCGTCTGGCCTGCGGGTCGCCTCCAGTGCTCTCGCGGATCCCTCTGCGCTCGCACGTCGGCTTCTTGCTTTTTAAAATGGAAGCGTCGGCCTTGGGAACTCGTTTGGCATCTGCTAGGGACTGCTCGGCGTATTTAGGGAACGGGGCAGTGACTGGGCGGCCCCACGGATGCGGAGCGCTAAGTTCGACTGCAATGGGCACGGCGGCGATATCAACATTTTCCGACCTTTGATACCTTCCACATGATTTTCCCAGCCAGTTTGACTGTCTTTGAGGATATGTGGCCCTCTGGACCTCTCATCCCACACTGACGCAATGAGATACCGAACAAAGCGTTGTCATGAACATCGTAATTTTGGTACAACTACTACAGGAAGTTTCTTCATTCACATCCATGCATCTGCGCGCCTTCCAACGCCTCGAGAACCTCATCCAACTCATCTTCATATACAATGACATGTCCAGCCTTGGAAGTGCTCAAATATGACATATTAAACATGTCCTCTCCAATGCGCCCTCTCATCCCATCAGTCAAGCGGCTAGAGACACCGCATACTATTCCCGTGCTCTCAAGCGGCAAGTCCTTCAGGTCCAAGGTTATGGGCACTTGTCCTGGACTCTCTGCACCAAGTAGAAGATCTTCGCCTCCATCCGGGAAGTAGTCCAGTAGTCGCCTCTCCATGGTGAATGATGCAGACTCGGTGTCGGTCAATGTCACTGAGAAGAACCTTGGAGCCGGCACGCTGGTCAGCAACCTTGTCATGCCGAGTTGGAGTTTTCCCTCAATGAAGTGGATTTCGGCTGAGCAGGGTGTGGTATCCTTTATCCCTGCACAAGTCACCAGCTCGATGGATCGATCGACATGCGGCACAATATTATTGCGGGAAAGTAGCTTGAACGTCTTGGTTTGTAGTTCAGATACACTGGTTGGAGGCGGAGTTCCAGGTTTGACGTGAAAGTCGAATGATGATGCGGATCCAGGACGTTGATGGCTGGGATTTATGAATGGAGACGCCGGATTCCACATCTGGCCTGCCTCCCCATCATCGTCCAATGCTTCGAAAACAAAGCCTCGTTCTTCCAAGGCTTTTATCACTCTCGGTCTTGCACTCAAAGGGACTAGTATGAAGTCTGAAAAGTAGCTTGTGATGAAGAAGATCGGAATACCAGCTAGTGCAAGAGGGCTGGTCAGGTCTAGAACTCGTTGTCCAGCTTCCAGGCCCTCGCCAGCGAYATTGATAGATATAAAGTCTTCCTCGCTAATGGAGACTGACTGTTGAAGTTGCACACTGAGTCCGCGTATCAAAGGAGCAAAGAGAGCATCGGCATCCTTTCGTGGGCAGACAATCGAGCACTCGTTTGGTGTGATTGATACGTTAACGAATGGAGACCAGTGGTTCCAGTATTTGTTAGGCTGAATGACTTGGCCATCTTCGTCTCGTTGATTGTTGTGTAGTAGTAGTGTCAGAATTGGCTGTAGGAATAGGGGGAATGCAGAAGGCGGGATGTGAATCAAGGCAAGGTGTGTCCTCTACTTCATTATTAGTATCTACCTACAGTACATCGTCGCGTTGTGACATACCAAGAAACCAATTTGCGCGTTCAGGAGTGTACTAGACTCAAGAACTGGTTGGCCCATATTGGGTCGACAGGAACATGTGCCAGATTATGTCTGCCCCGGGAAGGTTTTCGCGCTTGGCTTCGGTGATATTAAGTCTCCAAATCAAGGTCTGCCGCGGTGGTGGTAGGTAGGACGAGTTGCTGCGAGCAAGGTTGAGATACAGCTGATGACGGCCGAGGTGGAAATCGTGTGCTCTTGGACCTTAGCTCGGTGTAAGTTTACGTAGGTTGCCAGCACACTAGACGAACGTCGTTGATGCAGCAGTGTAGAGTTCCACAACGCCGAAGTTGTTGCAGACCTATCAGGTGTTGGTTGATCAGATGTGGGTTGACAATGACGATTGAGTCAATGTAGTAGCAGGCGAATGAGGTATGGCCTGGGTCCAAGTAGGATACGGCGGTTGGACGTGACGCCGACGAAACTCTAGATTGTCGGACGTGGTTGTTTTTGATGTCGTTCTGCCAACTCAAAGAACGTAGAACCCAATTGGAAGCAGTAAATTCGGGGACTTGATCCAAGCAGCTGCACAGCCTGCAGGTATATGCAACCAGCGTGGGATATTGTCTTGAATCGACCAGTTAGCAGCAGGCTTCCCCTCACCTGGAAGACCTTTTGGGAGCGGCTAGAGCGTGGTTGCTTGCCGTGCGTGGGATAAATACGCAGGTGTATGTGGCTTGCGCCGGGCCGTAGCGATTCTGTTGTATTATAGTAGGTACTTATCCAGTTGGATACTGCCGATTTCGAGGTCTGATCCACAATGCCTAGGAACTGGTAGTCCAGGCTAAGCATTCAACCTACTTGCAATCGCGACGATAGCTCTCTGCAATCACATCCAGGTCATTCCGAGAACCGCCGGAGGAGCCTACTCTACCATGAAAGTTACTCGGGTCCATGCAGTCGGGAGCACTCCAGTCGCGTAAGCCGACAATCGACATGGCGCACGCCTGACATGTGACACAATGTCACTATCGCGGATTCTGCTGTGCTGGATAGGGTTGTCAGAGGAATGGGATGTGGTTGAGGGGTCGTGGTCCCGCCTTCGAATGTTAGCTTAAACTTAGACTCGGCGAATCGGGGCTGGCCGGGCGCACTGATCATCAGTGTGTTTGCTCCAGCGCAGCACGATGGCCGACGTTGAACCGATGTGACTCTGTTGATGTGGCAGGTCTTGTATGTATCGAGATTGCACAGCAGATGACGCTTGCGTACCTCTTGCACTCGGCATCGTCACGATCTCGTTCTCCACTTCTTCCGGCGCGGCGCAGTGCATTTAACGAGCACCTACGGCAGGAACAGCCAAAGTATCGCCTCCTCTGCGATACCGAACCATTTACAGCCGCGCGCGTCCGGCGGTAGACGTTCCAACTGCCAAGACAGCCCCCATAGGATTGTCATTCTGCGAGGACACGGGTCACCGTGCGCTGCAAGGGTGTGGGTGGGCTCGGCTGAGTGCATGACATCTGGGATTAAACATGGCACCTGCAAGCGACGCGACCGACCAGACGAACAAGTATGAGAACCTGTCCGTTCGAAAATTGTCAAGCCGAAAGAAACGACGCTCATCAGGAATGCCTTTGCGATGCTAAGGTGTGCTGCCATTCAATTGCTTCCTTGAGAATCATATACTCAACAGTAACGCTAAGGTAACAAGGGCGGCGATCGAGATCTAGGCCATTTGATAGTGACATCCTGGACTAAGCCGAGACATGTGTTCGCAAAGCAGCATGTGGTCCACCCTCCAACGCACGAGGTGGTTGGAATGCGGAACAATAACCTTCCGCATGCATGTTATCTGCGAGGAGGGTTCACTTGCCCCACAATGTATGCACCCTGAAGGCTGACACCCATGTCTCGCAAGGATGAAACATGAGCTCGTCTAGGCACATCTCTTCACGCTATTTTGCGGCACATCGAAGCGGCTCCAGATGCTAGCTATCAATGGGAACCTTGGATGTAATTCCCCGTCCCTTCAGAGGCGCGAAGCGAACGAGTTACAAGAGTACATTTCAGCTTGCGTGTGCAGCTCCCACGCATTCCACTGCGGTGCCGCGAGCATCGTCTGATGGCTCGAACCGATCACTTCTATGCCATGAGGAAGCGGACGTGACAGGGACGAGCTTTCTGCCATGTAAGATACACATATCGCTAATTCATATTCAATGTAATGCTGTCCGCTAAAAGTGGTATCAATGTTGAACTCTTCCTTCATAAAATGCCTCCAGACAATCATACAGAGCGCCAGGCCCTTTACTTCTTTCTAGCTCCTTCAAACCTCTTAGCAGTCAATCTGATGGTCCGCTCCGCACCGACACTGGTATCTAATGCCACAATCTTTTCGGAAGCATTCTCAGCACCGGCACTGGCATCTAATGCCATAATCTTCTCCGAAGCATGCTCAGCAACACTGACGATCAACGCACTGGGGTTCGTGGTCACCATGCCAGGGAAAACAGCAGCATCAACAACGAACAGGTTATCAGTGCCGTAAACTTTGGTATTGGTATCCACCACGGCAGTACCGTTATCGAGACCAGAATCAAGGCCCATTTTGCAAGTCCCAATCCAGTGGTTTGCACTTCGAGCGCCTGGTGTCAGCGGGTAGTCCGCCAGGAACTTTTCCGTTGTCTGATTGGCAGGCGGATGTACGATTTGAATCGACGGATCTGTTGCGAGAGCTTGCCTCAGGGATTCGATTCCTGCAGCGACAGCCGCAACATCGTTTTCGTCTTTGAGATAAGGAACTTCAGAGATAACCATGTTCAATGCTGGCGTGATGGTGGTTCGCCCACGTCCGATCGCTCCACGGCCAAGGTATTGGGAGATGGTCATGGCTTTTTCATCGACTATGCCATGGCTACCTTCTCCGCGGGCTGTCCATTGGAGTTGGCGTGTAATGCCGTCGGCTCCGGTAATCTCTTGCCAGAAAACGGTTGCTAGGTTCGGTGCTGACTGGGTAAGCATACCAGTTCGGTTGGCGAGGAAGCGGTCCACATCGCTCACGATCGGTTTTTCGTATGCTCCATAAAAGTCGTAGCTGGTAACGTTGGGGTGAGTTATGACAATGTCCGTGTTGGCATGATCATCCAAGTTGCGGCCGACCGGAAGATCGATCCATTGACTGCTAGTGACCATAGCGTCACCCTCCGCCTTGGAGACGATGTCGAGCTGGTCCTTTGGGCCAATTCCGGAACGGAAGAGGATCTTTGGGGTACCAAAGGCTCCAGCGCTGAGGATAACCTTGCCAGTTCCGGGAGTGACGTTGATTGTACCGCATTGACCGCCGTCAAGAGTAGCACCGGTTTCTACGCCAGTGATACGTGCGCCGTCTCGAAGTACTCTGTGGACTGTGGTGTTGACCATGAGTTGGAAGTTCTCCCGTTCATTGGCAGTGACCAGGTATGTTGCCAATGGACCTCCCCGCTCTCCGTTACTGTACATGTGATTCGGACGAGAGAATGTATGATTCTTCTCAGCAGGCTCATCGCCCGCTGTGACATTCTTCCAACCAGATGCAGCGAGAGCTCCACCAATAATGTCGTACCCCTGACCTTGGTAGATCCGTCCGTCCATGGAGGGCGTTTGAGTGAATGGGATTCTGGAGAACGTACGGTCGATGGCACCCTCCATATCAGCAGCTTTCCAGCCCTCTGGGAAGTTGTAGTCGAAGTCCTCGGGGTTTGGCTTCCACCAGAGGCCAGCATTCACCGCGGTACCGCCGCCGAGCACACAGCCCGCCATAGTTGCAACATCTGAACATGCTATACCCTCGGAGTCTCGCCACACCTCATTGTTCAAGGCGTTGATGTCAAAACGAGTGAGATTGGTGCCCACGAGCCACTCTGGTTTCATGGTACCTCCCCAGCGTCCCGAAGATGGTGGACCCTTTTCGATCAACAAGACACTGGCTCCACTTTCAGACAGCTTATCGGCTAGAGGAATACCGCCAGCGCCAGCGCCGACGACAATGTAGTCGAATGTCGTGTTGGAAATGACTCTATTCTCTGCGCAAGCAGCGGAGGTCACAGTGGAGTTGGTTGGTGAAGTAGGAGTTGTCACATTTCCGGTTGGACTGGCATCCACACCAGTCGCAGTAGCTGTGGCTGATGCTGAGGCCAGGGAGGTCCAGTCTGTATATGCTGTGTTCCTCGCAGATTCGACGGTCACAGCAAATGCGCCAACTGCGGCGTGCTGGCGGATTCCAGAATCCTTCTCATTGGGGTTCGTCGGAGCGTCGGTGGCTTGTGCCCATCCCATGATTTGAGCAGCTTTGGTGGTAGTCTTTGGTAGCTGTGATCCCGGGACAGAATCGTGATCCCTGTGAGGATAAGTTGTCAGCGGGAGGCTCGTCGATGAATTGGGTTCAGAACACATACCAAGCCCAACAATCCTGACATCTGTAAGTAAGCTCGTAATGCGTGTCATTCACGCTCGATGAGATGACACCCAAGGTTGCATTTCCGTCGTAGATTGCTGGCTCCGTGTAACCACTTGCGTAGCGGAAGGATGTCATCACACTGTTGTCATCTTCATTGACCCAGCTGAGCAATAGCAAATTGCCAGTCATGCCAGAGTTGTGACCGATTCCCAACCATGTTCCGCTCTCAGGGCGAGAAACAACGAGTCTGCCGATGTATTCGTTGATAAGGGTGTCTTGTGAAGCATCAGGCAATGCCATGCCCAGTTGTGAATCTCCATCGCCGACGCCCGTTGACCAAGTCCCTTGCCAGAAGGTAATACCGTTGTCGTCAGTGAACTTTTCAAAGGTCTGTGCTAGTGACGAAGAAGTAAAAATAAGAAGCGAAGAGAAGTTGATGAGCTTCATCTTGTCAAAGTTGCAGTAGGAGCCAAATGAGCGTAAGTAGTTGGTCGCTCTGCTCTGTAAAAATGCGAGTGAGTAAAGAGGAAATTCCGCTTACCTTAGATTCCGTATATAACATGTCGTCGCCCTAGTGGCTGGTTTTGTGTTGAGCGCTATAAGGCTGGCCGAATGGAGATGGAAAATGCTTCGCCGTTGCGAGTTTCAGCCTTCAGGTCAAACGCTTGGTGGTGTGCAAAACGTCCACATCTGATGATCGACGCCTCGTGGGTAGCGCCCCAGATTAATTTCCATCGCTAGGAGATGACTTTAGTCTCATGTTGACAATGTAGTGTCGTTTGATCGCCAACTCGTGTGCAATGAGTGTCGTATAAATTGACCAAGACATTTCGATCTTTGTCAAATGTCAATGCAGGTCGTCCCGACCTGAGGACTCCTGATAAAGTCTTGAACGCCTATGAACCAGCCAAAGGCTTGATCACAAAGGATGGCATTCACCAGCAAAAGACTAGCCTCGTCGCCCTGTGAGTAGTGGTCAAGAAAGTAGTAGCGAATATCCGACGGGCTGGCTTGGGGAAAACGGCTGTACCGCCAGCCATCCTAAGCCGAGACGTTGTCAATATCAGATACATTGTCTGCCGGACTTACTGTGATAGCTCGCAGCCCTCTTGACACAACGGAGTTGGAGGTTTAGACGTCGCATTCCGCGCCGATGCATCGAAAAGTCGCACGACATGGAAGATATGTACGATGCTGCATTGATCAATGTCATTTTTGAGATGCCAGAATTTGCGTACTGTTTCAAAAGCGATTGTCTGCCGCAATATCAATCCGCCACCTTTGCCTCTCGACTCAGGTAGAGTATCCGGAAATTCATGATGCTCTTCGTCCATTCCTTTCAAATGCCTGGCCATGTTCAATTTCGCATTGCCCCAACCTCAAAGACGCCGTGCTGTGCCAGTACGCTTCAACGCTGAATGATCGACTATCGGACACTGCTCAATAAGTTTGTCGCTACACTAGTCTTCGTCCTCCTCCATTGCATCGAGCTCCTCAGGATGGCTGTAGAAATGTCAGTGATGCGCATGCAAATTGGGAACGAAGCAGAACATACCCGAGAAGAGACTTTATGTTCTTCATCTCGTAGTGCTTCTTGCGCATGTCTTCGAACTTCTTGTGCTTCTCCTGCTCTTCCTGACTCATGCCCGATGTGTCATCCTCGCCATGATGGCTGCCGTTCTCACGTGGATCCTCGCTCGCGACCTGGACTTTACGCTCGCTGTCGCTATCTGCCCGCGAGAGAGGCTCCAGCTCGGGCTGGCCAATGTCAATGTCCGGGATTTCGTTGTCTTTGGCACGCGATCCGGAATTCTTGCGAACTCCCGAACCCATCCTGTTCATCTCAAGCTCGTCGACTGCCAGCTCTTGGGCATTGATGGTGGAGATCTCGTCTTCGTCCTCAGTGGGGTCGTAGTTTTTGGCGTATGGCGTCTTCGGTTCGTCAATCTTCATGCGGCCACCCATTTGGCCCTCGTTCAGGTAGAGATTGGCCTCGTCCCATTTCAAACGCATACCATCCGACTCGCCCTCGCCTGACTCGCCTGTTCCGCTCTGGGCTGACTGACGTCGGCTGATGCTACTGCGAGGATTGCTGCTTGTGCGACGATGGCTGTTGCCGGCGTTTCGCTCCGTGTTCATGAGTGTGATTTCCTTCTCGGACAGCTCGCGTGGCGGCATGCCGGGCCTGTCAACAACAGATTCAGACTTGCTGGYAGCATCGTCTGTCGGAGCAGATTTCTCTGGCGTAGGACTTGTAGCGGTCTCGGGCGATGCCTGCCGAAACGAGGAGGAGTTCTTGAGGATACCTAAAAGATGGTGAGCTTGGGACAAACCAGGAAGTTGTTCTTTGGCTGACCTCTTGGCCGCTTAGGCACAGAGGCCGGAGACATCTGGGCGGATGCAGTCTGAGCCATGTTGGCGCGGGATGTGGTTGTCGTTGCGAGGACGCTGGTCGTGTGGGTGGGGTTGAATTGAAGTGGATGCTGTAGCTCTACGACAGGAGCCAGCAAGCGGGAATATATGGAGCTGGCCTGCGTGTGGTGGATGCTGCACGTGCAAGTCGCGTAGGTCTTGCTTCCAAGGGATGCAGGTACAGCTGACAGTGCGCCACGTCCGAATTCGATGCGCCGCAGCTAGCTTGGCTTGATCGTGTGTCGTGGTGGTGGGGGTCGGCGGAGTGGGCGGTGAGGTTCGTTGCTGCCGGTGGGAATGGCAGTGTTTGGTGAACAAGGAGCTCTACGCGGGCAGGTCAGAATGTGCGKGTAGCTCGAGCTGAAACAGTGGAGTGTTGTGCATGGATGGATGTGAGGGAGATGTCAAGCTTGGAGTTGCTGTCTCTGCCGCCCCTCGTCATGTCCGTGCGGGTTTGTCTTCTGATTGCTCCACCATTCGCTCCCTCCCCACGTCACACAACATCACCTGTGCACCGCACGCCCGGTTCCGACGCGTCCTAGGCTCTACAGTACCTATCCTCGCCATCAAGCGAAACTGGCACTGTCCTTCGCTTCGCGCATACCTCGACTTCCAACTGCGTGGAGTTGTTCCAGCCAATCGAGGCATCGAACGAGTCGACCGGCATTGTGATCCAATCGGGCATTTGTGCTGCAGGTGCTGTAAAGTCTCGTACAGGTGCATTGAGCACCCACACACGTGGAATAGCCCTACTCGTCGTCTAACGAGCATGCGGCTGTGATCGGCTGCATATGCAAGGTGGATCATCTCCCTGGACGGCATTTATCAGCCAAGAGCCCGTAACGGAGCCGAGCCTGTACAGCGATGGTGAACCGYTCCAAACACTACGCAAGCATAGGTACCTGGGCATTACAGCCAGGGCGTGATGTACTGCAGATGCTCGAACGAGCCCCTGCAACCATGGCATCCCGTTTAGCGAGCCGAAGGAGGTTGCTGCCTTCAGTCCGACGATACAATGGCCGCTCACCGCCGTTGTGATCCCACGAAGCACATTCTCCAGAACTTCACTGGCTGATAAGTCCGGTGAGCAGTCGGTTCATGATACTCAAGCGACATGCGCAAGCCTTCCTGCTTGCTGTACCAGGCATACACCTCTTGCTGCAATGGTGAATGGGTTATGGTCACAATGCTTCCCACACTCCATGGCAGCAAAGGAAGCACAATTCGGAACACGGCCCAAATACGCTGGTACTGGTGGGTTATTCAGACATCCGCCCCTGAACGTGGTGTTGTATCCAGTCTGCTACGCCAGGATGCTTTCATCGCCAGGGCACTTCGTGGCACGAGTAATCAGCGCTTGTCACTGATGCGCTGTTACCTCACGGCAAAACCAACCGATGCTACTGGTCCTTTGCCCTGACGTGTGCTCAGGGTTGAGTTTGTCACGGCCGGTCCAACGGCGATGAAGAAAAGGAGCGTCTCTGTCTTCAATGTCAACGCAGTCAGACAGAGTCTTGGCAGCAGCATTGTCGCCACACTTGAGATGATGAGCATTWTCTGGACGTTAATAAAGTGAGCGTCTGGGCATGAATCGGTTGGCACAGGGATGTGACAACGCTCAAGAGCTTGCGAGGTCTCTGAGTCTGGTAACACAAAGTCTCTCCAGGAACAATGGCCCTTGGCGGATCGAACATATGACGTTGTGCAGTAATCCTACACATTGCTTCCTGACATGAACGATGCCTCATTCGGCAGTCATGCAAGCAACTCTTCCTATTCCATCAAGGCGAAGGAAGCGAGGCTTGGCCGACTTGCTTGGCAATAAGTCGAAGGAAGTGTTGTGTCTGAATGCAACTAAAAAGTGCAACCGAATCCTACAGTATCGGAATGATCAGCATGAGTATCCCAAGACCAGCTGCGGGTAAGATGGTAAGTCATTGCTGGGTACCATTCGTGCCTTTATAAGACCTGCTAGAACTAGAGCAGCCGAGTCGGGAAGGTCTTGATCCCCCTGCGACCATCTTGACTGTTGAGCCTCGAGACGACGCTTCGCTTTGTACGAGCTCTGACAGACTTCCTAGCCCCAGATTATTCCTGCAGTCTAGCTTAACAGCTCCTACTGACGATCGTATCCTAAACAGCCATGAGTCAAGCACAATTAAGCTTCGCCCATCCTTCCCCGAAGGATCGCTGTACAGCTGTGTCTCTCCGCATCTGTTGTGTAGTCTCATGATGACATCTCTGGTCAACATGCAATACTGAAGGATGTAACTGAGAACGCGAAGGATGGGTCGACGCCACTCCAGTGCTACTCAGTCAAAGGGCTACGGCGTCGAACGACCATATATATCGCGGCGATGCCGTCAACTCCGTCGACCTGACCATAAGATTTTGCACCGCCTCACGCCGCAGATCATCTAATCTTTCTCTATAAGTACTCACCAAGACCTACCAACAATGATCAAACCACTAGCAATTTTGATCATGGGTTGCCAAATGCTCACAACTTGGCCAAAATTGTGCCGTGGCGAGCCTCTCTTGGACCGCGAGTTCATGTTCAGCCACGAGCCTGAAGTTGGTCAGATGTGGCACGGTGGGAACAGAGTCATGTCGCCGGATACGCCTTGTACGTAGCCAACAGACAAGAACACATGGAAGACATCGCTGACCATCTATTCCTTACTCCCAGACGCAGCAGCGTGCGCTCAGAACGCAATCTACTTTATCGATCAGAGATACGATGTCGAGAGTGCTCTCCACATCAAGGAACAACTGGAGAACCTGATCGCGGACAAGAATGGACATTGGTTTATCGATGAAATCGACGCCACTGCCGAAAGGAGAGACGCTGATGGCAAAACCATCTTCAAGTTCAACCCTGCCTATGCTAGAGTCTTCTTTGCGGAATCGATGAACAGCAGGAACCCCAGTCTTAACTTGCCTGTCCATGAGCCTGCGGGTGACTGGATGGTGGTATACGACACGAAGAATGCTCAAGTTGGAGGCAAGGCGAAGCGTATCGGTACAGGAATCAACCCTCGAGAGAACGCCACAGTCACTCTTGACGACTTTCTTCAGAAGAGAGACGACTGTGAGGACCTTGGGTGTAACTCTAATGAAGAGTGTCATAACAAGGACCGCAAGTGCGACTCTTGCGATATGGGACGCCTCGACAATCACTGCAGAGATGGTGGACTTGTTAATGCTGTGGGAATTTGTGTCTCGGAGACTTGCAAGGCTGCAGTGGACACACCTCGATTCGAGGGCGAGTCGGATGCCGACTACTACCAGAGAATGGACAAGCTCCACTGGCATTAAATGGGAGATCATTGGAGGGGGTAGACCAGGGTGTGTTGACTGTCAATTTGGCGGAACTCAATGTCGGCCAGTTTGATTTTGTCCTGGGTGATTGTTCACGAGCAGATATCTCCGGCCTTGGACGAGCATGTACTCTCTGATGCATTGGAAAGGATGACAGGTTCGAGAGAATATTCTGAAGAGACAATGCACTTACGATCTCAATTCATCCGTGAACGTCGAACCTATCAATTCGCGTAACTTCCTATCAAGTCATGCATTGGAAGTACAATCTATGGCCAAGAAAGATCAGGGCTCACTTCATGAGACCCTTCGCATAGCCTCCCAACTTGCCCAGCAGCTTTTGCCTTCCACTCTGTTGCTGAGCTGGTGCAGCCTCTGGAGGAGGAGGAGGCGGTGGTCGATCGTACGACTGGCCTTCATCAGACTGTGGTGGTGCTGGCTTCACATCACCTCCCACTGCGGCGCTCTTGCCTCCAACAGTCACTGTGAAGAGAACGGGATCTCCAGCATTGACCTTCCCACTTTGATCCTCTCCTTCATCAGGCTGGACGTCGTCATATGCGAAGGCGTATCCTTTTCGGTCAACATTGTGTTCGTGAACTAGACGAGCGTAGTGGTTGGTTGGGTCTGTCTGATAAAACGTATCCGGCGTGGATGGATGACTCTCCGTGGTGAGCAAAGCTGATCGAACAAACCCTGCGGCTAGTCGAGGTATAATCGCATTTCGAACCGGTGAAGGCCCAGTGGTAAAGGGCCCGCTGTTACAACCAAGAATGTCTGCAGTCGTGGGCTTGTCGAATTCCTCGTCGCCGATCTTGAGCTTTCCTTTGTGGTTTACATGGCCCTCAATTACGCCCTCTCCAGCTTGAGTGTTGATCTTCATCTTCGTGCCGGACTTGTACTTCTCCCAGACTTGCTCAACCAAAGGTTCAAAGTAGCCGTCAAAATTGGCATCCACTGCACCTCCGTGTGTAGCGTTTAGAATCCGAAGATTCCGACCGTCACGATTCACTACCAGTTTATCCCATGGTTGGCCATCTTGTTGTGCTTGTGTGGCAAGGCTCTCTGCCATTCGATCAAGACCGTCCGGAGCCATGMCTGCAACATGTTGAACTTCTCCAGAGTTTTGTTGGAGAGTGAGAGCGATGGGTATTCTTGGCACCATGTCGACATAGCTAATGTTGGCGTACAGCTGAGCATCGTTGAGTGTGAACTCCGCGAATCCAAAATTGACGCCTGCATTTGGATCACTAGGGTTAAGCACCGAAGGCTCTACCAAAGCTGGACCTCCAGGATTGAGGAGGAAGGTGAGATTTCCTTCCGATATCCAAATTCGACCGCCAGCAATTTGTGGGATGGTGATGTTGACTTCTACGAGGGCAATAGCCTGTCAAAACTGCCCCATTTGACTGTGCCCGATCGAGGGGCTCTCTTACCATTTCCGGGAGCTCCAAGTGGGATTGCGCAGTCTTCAGCAAGCTGAGATCCAATGTCTTTTACTTCCTTGGGAAAGTAGAGATCCTTGCCGTTGGCTTTGAGGAGACATCGTTTGCTGTCATGTTGGATGGCAATGCCGGTGACATAGGCAAAGATGTTATCGAGATCGCTGTCGTTCTTGAGTAAAATGTGCAGTGAGTCGGGCATGATTGTGAAATACGGGTTCCTGTGTTACCATCAGCCCGGAGACAACGCCTTTGATGAGGAGATGGCGTGGTTGGTGTTGGCGCGTGCAATCCTGTTTTCACAGAAACCCGCCAATGACTTCATGCMAAGCGATCGCAAGCCATCCATGTCCAATACATTTGGATCATCAATCTCAAGCACCTTGATGATGATGATGGAAATAGAAGGGTTTTCTGCGGTCGCAAGCTAGAGGTGAAGTTCAAACCATGGGCTTGGCGGAGGCGAGTGAGGTACATAAGGTAACGACCGCAACAGGGCTTCAGCTACAATGAGTGATACCGAGCTCTGAATAGGGGAAGATCAGGTAACTTTACGCAATCACAAAAGTCTGTCGTAGACATTCAAAGACGGAGCATGATGAGGCAGAGTCAAGAAGTGTTTGACCCAGGTATGTCTGACGACGTTGTTCATCAATTGTGGTAATCTCCTCTGCGAGCGACTCCTCGCCCGATGCATATGTCTACAACATGACACCCTTGTTCTGCTTCTTGCCGACATCATAGTTCTTCCATACAACAATGCATGGAATGGCCAAGACTAGAGAGGTGACTGCAGTAATGCACGAGTAGTACTGGTAGCGGCCCCATGCATATTCCACAGCAGTGCGGTAGAGTGTGCCTGGGACGTATAGTTCCTGGACCAGGTATCCGCCATTGAAAAGAGTCTGCACCGCCCCTTGCTCGGATGCAGGGAGAGCATGAGCCAGGGCTTTGGGGAAGACCTCGCCGTAGATGGCCTGAGTGAYTGCTTGTCCGATAGCTCCGCCAAGGCCAGAAGTAATACCAAKGATGGAAAGCATCATTGGAACCCCATCGCGGTCGGCAGACGCCATCACTGCCATGTCCTCACCAATCACCAAAGTTCCACCAGCAATGGCAATGAACAGTTGGCACATGACGAGGTATCCAATGCCGTAGTCGTTGCCGCGGAAGTGAATCATGAGTCCAGAACCTAGGAACATCATTGGCAAACCAAAGAAGAGGCATGCGTACTTAAAGCGCTTGGTGTAGCGAATGTAGACGCCGAAAACAACTCCCTGTCGTTTTCAGAAGAATTAGCGATGTTTGTGACAATTTCTAATGTGGGTAAAGACATGGCGTAGCTCGGAGGAAACCTTCGAACTACCCTGTATATCTTATGCCCTTTGATACATACCCAGAAACAGGATCCTATGTTGTAGATCTGTTGCATGTATCCGGCCAGGCTGACAGGCAATGCGTATACGACCTTGACAAAGTTGTAGTAATAGAGGTCCCACGAGTAGAAGCTGAAGAATAGGACGGCCGACAGAATGCAGGCACCTAGGACTGTCCTTTCTTTCAAAAGTTCCCAGCGGATGAAGTGCTTTTTCGCAAAGAACCTCTCCCATGCATAGAAGACGAAGAACATGAGGAAGCCGATGATCACCATGGCGATGAATGTGGCGCTTSCGTATGTGGCGCGATTATTGGTGACRAGGCTGAACGGCAGCAAGAATAGGATGAATGCAACCATGATCAAGACAGCACCGACGACTATGTTTGAGATCAGCACGAAGTGAATAGAATGAATGTGACTGGACTCACCGTCGAACTCGTGAATGTAATGAACAATGCTCTGCAGTGTAGTACGTCCACTTGGCTCGTGTACGAAGAGACCCAAAGTTGCAGCCTTGCGCTGGTAAAACTTGAATACCACAGCAAGTGGAATCATCGTTATGGGCACAACTATACAGAAGATGCCGGAAGACCATCGCCAGGTTGTCATCGCCAGAATGGAATCGGCTGCAAGGGGACCAGTGAAGGCTGTGCAGATGAATGGTGTAGAGGCGAATGCAAAGACAAATGCACGATTGCGGAGTCCGGATGTATCTGCCATGAAGACATCTAGAATGAGGTAGAGGGAACCATAGCCGACTTGGTAGAGCACATATCCAGCCGCATAGCTGTTGGGGCCATTGCTAGTTGTGATGACAATGAGTCCGATGAGATATATGGCGAGGAACACCAAAAGGCCCTCGGCACGGCCCCAGATGTTGAGCAGTCTCGCAACAGGCAGCTTGATCACGGCGCCGATGATGGAAGCCAGGATGTTGGCTGTGGCGACTTCGGGTGCCGTCCGGAAGTTCGAATACGCTGCCATAGTGCCATAGCTGATGACGCTGGAGGAGAAGGCGAGAATGAAGAAGTTGACCTGAAGATGGAATGGTTAGCATTGCAGGAGACACTTTCGAAGTGGATCAGGGCCTGGCGTAGTCCCGTGTGATTCCGAACTGCCTTGTACGCCTTTTGCCCTTCTATTCTTACCCAGATCCAAGCGTATGTAGCATATAGAGTCGTCTTGGTCCATACAAGGGCCGCAGCCTCAGCCTTCTTCACACCAAGCTGTGCGTCCTGTGTGACCTGGTCTGCAATGTTGATTAGAAGGGTCGAGCCGTCCATCCATGTTTGCCATACCGGGGTGCTGCTCGATTTCCTTCTCGTTCTGCGCCTCCAGACTCAGTGTGCTGGATCCCGAGGATGAAGTACCATCCTGAGAGGCCTTGGGATGCTTCTCGTCTTCGTGAATGTCGTGTCCGTTGGTGGCGACCTGGTGGAGCTTGCGTCCACGGACTTGATCGAGAACACCCATGTTCGGCGACGAAAAGATGTACTGTAGAAACGAGAGACGGGGGATGGTGGGTAATTATCAGATCATCTTTCTTGAGATGCAGCGCTAAGACAATGTGCAGCAAGCATGTTGGGGCGTGTGGACCCGAGAGAAAGACACTGGGGTTCTCGGACCAGCGTGATTCCTTGCCCAATTGGTGAACTTGCGCCGAGCGCAGGCGACCGAGCTCTGGTCAATGACAATAGTGATCCATCAATATGCTCATCCACGGCTCGCGTGGCACATGTTGCGTCGAATCACGACTCTTCTTGCAATGCAAGCATCGTGAGCATGAGCATGAGCACGCCGAGCYCGGCAAGCTTTGGCGAGGACGGTCAAGAGATTTCTCTCGTCTGGGCACGCCTTGACTCTTTTAGTCCGGCTGTGCCGTTCGCGAGACCGGAATGGCGCGATGTCACCCTTGGAGGTTGATTTTGGCTCCACATCGTTGCGACATCAAACTTCCACCAACCTCCCACGGGACCCACAGCTTATCAGATTCTTCACCCCTCGGACCTCCCTCGATGATCCCGGTTGCCGGCCCGAAAGTCCTCGCACGTGGAAGTTGGACCCCGTCAGTCCTCCGAGGGCCGGTGAAATTGACTGGCCGCCCTAGCTGCAGCAGGCAAAAATCCTGAGGTGTGTTCCCTACACCAACGGCAACATGGCAAGACATTCGATCCCCCTATTTGACTCTCCGCAAGGCTGCTGCTTTTTGTGCTTGCAGCTACCTATCCGTAAGCGTTGTTGTCGATACACCACAAGGAGAGGCGGCAATCTTCAACTTCACTGGCCCTCGCACCAATAATCGTTTACACGGCGGTAGAAAGGGTACCTTTTGGAGACACTCAGCCTGTATGCAGTGTTGAGCGACCTTCAACATCAGCTCTTGACTTGCGATGACGAAGCTGTCCTCCGCTGCTAAAGTTGCCCTCAACCTAGGAATACCGCGATATCGGAGGAGGCTTCGATGCGTCTACATTCGGAATCGAAAATTGGTCCAGCAGCCCGGCAGTCAGTCATCATTAACCCATTCGTATGGTCCGATGGAAAGGAAGCGAAGTTTCTGCGATTCTGTGCCCCTGTGCCAGTGGAGCAGCAAAGGTCTGGCTCAAGTAGGCAGCCCACAACTTTCCGCGTCCCGTTCGATCTCGGAGATGATGCTGTATGTTGGAAATATCGCTCTCAATTCAGTGCGAGCGCCGTCTCCGAATACCAAACACCGACAGCCTCTCCATAGCTGCATTGTGTGTGGTAGATTCGCTCCGTGCCAATCGATCTCTCCCAGGACGACTGGATGCCAGGAAATACTGGCAGTGTAACACTTTGTCTTTCGTGCACGTATCTACCGGCCATGGGCACCGATAGCATTTCAACGATCTGAAAATCCTCTTCCCGAACAGCTTCTCGCAAATGGGTATATTAAATCTAGATAATCAGAAAACTTTCTACTGGGCTGTCTGGCTCTTGATCTTAGCATCCTCAGCCGCCTTGTCATCCGCCTCCTTCTTGAGTCCTGCCGCCTTCTGAGCCGCCTGCTGCTTCTCTTCAGCCGCGATCTTGTCCTGTTCAGCTTGGGCGTGCGCCTGGGCAGCAGCCTGGTCATCCTTTGCCTTTGCATCTCCAGCCTGCTTCGACGCGGCCGCGTTCTCCTGGTCATCCTTTGCCTTTGCATCTCCAGCCTGTTTCGAC